TACAGGGTGTTGTTCTCTCATCGGCAGGGAGCCTCAATTTCAATGGTAGGGAGGTGTACAAGTATCTACGTCGACACATGGAGTTTGTCAGCAACACCGACCAGGAAGTGGCCTCAAAGACTCTCAATATTAAAAACAATGGGCTGGCCAAGTTTTACACTTGGTTATCCAACCCCCCTTGGTCTTTTATTCATCCATTGGATAATGTTCCAGCTGATAATTATCACAGCAGCTTTCTTCCAGTGCCATCCATTGATGCCATCGTTCCCTTGGGATCCGACGAATTCAACGTTCACATTGCTGTTGTGCTTAAATCAGAAGGGGAGATAAAAATTATAAATATTGTGAAGAATGTATGTGTCCGTACACTGACAGGAGTCTACCGCCCGCAGACCCTTATCATGCTGGAATTTCCAAAAGCCTTGGTCTTATGCAATCGTGAACTGTGCATAATTGACCTTGAAGAGGGGAAGCTCATTTCTAAATTAAGGGGAGTCCTTAATCTGCGTCTGCCCTTGTTTGGACTTCAAAATAAACAGCGAGCCGTGGTTCTCTCTAGGGACAGGATGGTGGTCAACATCCTTGACATTGAATCAGGCACGACTGTGGCATCATTTAAGGTATTCAAAAGTTTTGCGTTTACACAAGTTTATTAATAACTGTTTACAAAAGCTTTTGTAGGGCCGTCCTTTTTTCTTGTTTTTCCTTTAAAAAAAACAACAAACTACCTGGGTTTGCTAAACAGTGCCTTTTAAAAACTTGTTTGTTTAACATTTAAAGGTTTTGCTGATACTCCATCACCAGAAATAAAGATGATTTCCTGGTTACCCTAACAATTTCACAGCTGATGGAGAGGAAATAGAGCTTTTAGGAAGCTAAACTGTGAGAATGACCATATTAAACAATGAAATGGCAGTGCTCTCAACCTCATGAATTTATGGAGCTTTTTAGCAGCAATTTATTCAGCAATGTAACTTTTAGCCATATCTTCACACACATTTACTGCACTTTTTAGCAATTATCTCAACCAGCAGAGCAAGTAAAGCAATATTTTTTCAATAATTTATCCCAATCCTGCAGGCTGGGGAGACCAGATTTTTGGACAGTCTGATCATCAGTGGAGACGGCAGCGTTCTGGTTTGTGGTGATGAGACCCAGAAGCCTTTCCCTCTGCTGGTGTGGAGCCTGGTTCAGAGCAAACTGGTCCATGACATCCGCGTTCCTCAACATGAGTTTATCACAGGCTTGGCCGACATCTCCTACAACGGACGGTACTTGGCCTGTGGGTGCAGGGTAATGGAGGCCTGAAAACCAATCATTAACCAACAATATTTAGTTGCATATAATCTGAAAAATGGCCTTTTGTAATAGAATTTCATCTGAAATTCTTTAATTTCTTTATCATTGTGTTTTCTTGCAATAAATAAAACTTACTGCCTTTCCATAAGCTGTAAAAATACTTCAAAGGTTCCTTGATCTAAAAATAAAGTATTACACAAATATAAGGGATATCTAATTAGCTTTGATGAATGTTTATTATGCACTCTGTTATATAGTATGTAGGCCAACTCTGTTATATAGTATGTAGGCCAACTCTGTTATATAGTATGTAGGCCAACTCTGTTATATAGTATGTAGGCCTACCTGTTAACATTCTTAACTTTTTTCACTTATTTTGGCTCCTAATGGTCAAAATTTTGAATGAAGTGCACAATTATGTATGTTTTTTTCGCATGGGGAAACTCTTTTAAAGTGGGAGATAGATTGTGAGACTCAAAGGGGAAAGACCCCTTAAACAAAATTTAATTAAAAAATTTACCCTGCATAATCATATCAAAGTTAAATAATGTGATAACTCCTATATGACATTTCTTTTGTTAGGTATGATTTACCAGGAAGTCTGAAATGACATTTATATTGTGTGTTGATTGTTTCCAGGATGTCTAAAATGCCTTTTATGTTGTGCATTGATTTTTTCCAGGAAGTCAATGACGATGCATCAAACTTTGTTGCCCTGTTTGACCTCTTCTCCGGGCAGCTTATCAAGAAGTTCAAAATGCCAGGCATGTGCACAGCCGTGGCTTTATCATCCAAAGCGATGTCTGTGGCAGTGGCCTTAGACACCTATCAGCTGTCCATCTGGGATGTGGTGTCAGGCAATCACAAGTTCGTATATAATGAACATTGCTATCTTACAAAATATCTTACAACAAATGTTTGAAATTCTTAAGAAGGCTCATGCGTTCCGAACTAAAAAAAATCCTAGAAAAACTTTTAAAAAATGAAGTAAAAATAAACAATTAGAAATAGATAATCATATTCAACAAATTATGTTGATTACAAGGTTAAAAGTGTTATTTTTTTAAAGGATTTTTTTTTTAGGGTGATTTAATAAATTTTTAAAAAACTTATTGGTCACTAATTTACCCTTACTAAGAAAACCAAAAACCTGCTCAATAGGTGGAACAGGAAAATCTTAAGAAAAAAAAATGGGACAGGACAATCATGGATTGAGAAAATGGAACAATTAAGAAATGTATCATCTGTACGATGGCCAAACCACAGTGGCGACAATCAACAAAAAAAAGTAGTCTGTGGTGGACGGGATACCTTGAGAGGATGCCAGATTATAGAAAGTAAAACTGGGACGCAGGCAGAAACTATGCCCCATGGGGCTGATGGTTCATCGGTAGACCGAGACGGATAGATGATGTGGAGATGAATTTATGTCAACTCGGGAACGAAACTCCTTTGATTGGTCTGAGTGGAAGGAGGTGGTGATGCAATCTTTCAGTTAACTACTGTTGTGTATGTTTTAAAAAGATTGCATTATTTAAGTTCTTTTTCACCAGGTGTCTGATTGATGGTGCTAGAGTTGCCATGGATACCATTCTCTTGACCCCTGCTGGCACAGTGGCTCTCACATACTGTAAACAAGAGTCCTCCATAAGTTCACACACTTTATGTTTATGGGATCTGGACCATGGTCAGTATAATGCATTGCAAAAAATTGTATCATGATTACTTAGGCCGATTTCAGAAAAGAAAATGGATACAATTCATGCACAAGTAGAACCTTGGCTCCAGGGGCCTATGTTTGAGAACCTTGTCTCCAGGGGCATATGTTTGAGAACCTTGTCTCCAGGGGCGTATGTTTGAGAACCTTGTCTCCAGGGGCGTATGTTTGAGAACCTTGTCTCCAGGGGCGTATGTTTGAGAACCTTGTCTCCAGGGGCATATGTTTGAGACAAGAATTTTCTTAAATTTCTTACTCATGAAAATTATCATCAGTGGGCAGTGTATTCAATTTTAATCGCCATAAGAAACTGCTGTTAGATGAAGATTGACATAGGAGTTATTTATCCTTGCTTCAAACTATTCTTAGATACGTTGAAGATCATGCAACATTCATTGGTCAGCATGAGACTTGCTCAAAATAAATTATGCTGGTGCTCTAGTCCAGTGGTTCTCAACCTTCCTAATGGCGCGACCCTTTAATACAGTTCCTCATGTTGTGGCGACCCACGACCACAAAATTATTTTCGTTGCTACTTCATAACTGTAGCGTATATGTGTTTTCAGGTGGTCTTTGGCGACCCCTGTGAAAGAGTCGTTGGACCCTCAAAGGGGTCGAGACCCAGAGGTTGAGAACCGCTGCTCTAGTCTAAACCAGGGGTCTACAGTATTTTTTTAACTGAAGAAACTTTTTTTTATAAATTAAATCTGCAAAGAAAATATTTAAGTTTAAGTAGCTGCAGACAGGGGTCTTTTGTGAGAGTTTGCGTGCCCATGACATCTCAAGAAATATTATAATACTTATACTTAAGTCTTAGAAACTACATTAAATTATTTATTCACCCTTTTTAAGAGTTCAAAATTTAAATGGTTTTTCGATTTGCTCAGGGGGATGTTATTAAGAATCTTTTTGTGAGTGTATCTTAATTTGTGTATTGAATATTTGTTGGTCATGAGTTGTGAGTGTATTTCTAAGGAATAACTGTAGTTGCTTGAAGTTAATAAACATGGCAGAATGTTTGTATATTTGGATGTGTGTGGTTTTGGTTCTGAGAGTTGCAGAAGTGTTAGTTATCTGAGGGTTAGTGATCAGAGTGTTAGTTGTCAGTAAGTTAGTTGTTGGAAAGTTAGTTATCAGTGAGTAAATTTTCAGAAAGTCAGTCGTCACAGAATTAGTTATCAGAATTTAACAATCAACAAGTTTTTGTTAGTTTCTCTTTGGAGTCCGTAAGTGGCAGAAATATCCCCTAGACCAGGCCTGCACATAATGGCATGCGGGCCGCATGCGGCCTGCTAGCACCCACTTTGTGGTCCGCAAATACCTTGGTGAAATTTTATAATATTATAAAATTAAAATAGTATACAAAAGTCTTTATGAAGTGCACTAAAACTTTTAGTGTATTTGGAAACACTTATCCATGTGAACAGACATTTTCAATAATGAACATTCATAAATGCAAGCCACGCTCATATTTGAGTGGTGATCATTTGGAAGACATCTGGAGAACAGCCACTTCCAGGATATCTCCTGAATGCGACAAACTTCGTAACCGAAAACTGATGCAATGTGTCACATTAATTATGCTAACAAGCTACATTAAATTTATTTCGTAAGTAACGAAATGTTCTTTATTATTTTCTTAATAGCTTTCCCTCCGTCCTATTTTTTTCGTCCAGCACAACATTTGCGTAACATATTACGACCTGCCTTAACATTATGACTTGTGCAGGCCTGCCCTAGACAAAACTGAGCCATTGAGCTGCCTCTCAAAATACAGGAGTTCGTAACAAATGGTTAAAACAAAAATGGCTTCATGCTGCTCCAGAGCCACAGATTACAAACCACTGTTCAATACTCCATCAGTTTGACTTGAGTACCTTTAGTTGAAGCTTATTTTCGTGAGTGCAATATTATCTCTAGTACTAATAGCACTTAATAGCATGAAATAAGTTATCGCTTTAGACAGTGTTTACTTTTACTCTTAGGTGAGTTTTTGGCCAGCCACACCTTTGAGTCCCCAATCACCTGTGCCCACCTGACACCTGACGGAAAGATGGTATTGGCAGGGATCAGGGGACACAACTGCCCCATCAGGTTGCTACTTGTACCAGTGGGATGCACTTTGGCCGCAGTGAGAGAAACATGGGAACAGGAGAAAGGTGGAGAGAAGGCAACTTTTGGTGACATATTGAGACAGGGCTGTATGGTCAACTTGGCCATGGGCAATGATTGACACAGTTACCATAGAAACAACTTCCACTGCTGCCACGGGCAATGATTGACTCAGTTACCATAGAAACAACTTGCAGTGCTGCCATGGGCAATGATTGACACAGTTACCATAGAAACAACTTCCAGTGCTGCCATGTGCAATGATTGACTCAGTTACCATAGAAACAACTTGCAGTGCTGCCATGGGCAATGATTGACTCAGTTACCATAGAAACAACTTGCAGTGCTGCCATGGGAAATGAATGACTCAGTTACCATAGAAACAACTTCCAGTGCTGCCATGGGCAATGATTGACTCAGTTACCACAGAAACAACTTGCAGTGCTGCCAAGGGCAATGAATGACTCAGTTACCATAGAAACAACTTCCAGTGCTGTCATGGACTATCATTGACTCATATTTTTAGCACTGTCACTATCACGAAAAAAAACAACTTCTGGCTATTTTAGAAAACAATCATGTTTTAATTTATTTTGACAACACTCATACAATGTCATGAGCAAGAATAAAAAAAACATATTTAATCAAATTCAAGGATTATATTAACAGTAAGTTTACAAAGGCAAAACTAAAACTGTAACCTGTTGACAGGACCAAACTAATCTGGAAGGTACATGCTTCACTCAGGAACCCTGTTGACAGGAGCAGACTGATCTGGAGGGTACATGCTTCAGTCAGTTCAAGACCCAGAATATCTTATCACAGTACTTGGCAAAATCTAGTAGATTAGAATATTTACGAGGTCATAGATATGAGAGACTAGGTCATAGATACGAGATTGCTTAGGTCAGCGGTAGGGAAATCGCGGGCCGCATGCTGCTCTTTAGCGACCTGAGTGCGGCTCGGCCAGCCGGCCACAAATCGGTTTTGACTCAAAAAAGCATGGTTCTTGAAAAGAAATTTGGCAATGAGAATTTTTTTTCATCACTCTGCAGCTAATTTTTGGCTCTTTTGACTAATGAGTTTGCCGAGCACTGGCCTAGGTTATAGACACGAGAGTGCCTGGCTTATATTTTATAGATACAATAATGCCTGGTCATACATATAAGAAGAACTAAGTGTCTGCTTTGTATACAAATATTTTAGTTTTACCCTTTAAATAACAAATGGTTTCCCATTGTTGTATTCAACACCTTAATGAGAGTTTTGAAACAAACGCAAGTAAAAAAAATTGTAAAATAATTTATTTTTTTGTTGTATGTTTAGTTAATTGCATGCAAAAAATTAAATTAGAAAACCCAGCTGAATTACATGAAATATGTTTGACTCACCTAGTAATATTTATCCCAATTTGAAACACTTGATCTATTGTTTGATAACGCAAGAAATATCTGCAGAAATTCAACCATTTTCTTAATTAAGAAAAAAACAACAGTATTTTTGATAAACAACTTTAGAGATGCTACACTTCCTTGCTTTTCTTTGTCAACTTTGGATCAACTCTTGTAACATCATGTAACTGACTCATTGGACCAACTCTTGTAACATCATGTAACTGACTCATTGGATCAACTCTTGTAACATCATGTAACTGACTCATTGGATCAACTCTTGTAACATCATGTAACTGACTCATTGGATCAACTCTTGTAACATCATGTAACTGACTCATTGGATCAACTCTTGTAACCTCATGTAACTGACTCATTGATCTGCTGCTCAGTCTTGGAGAGTCTGATCTCATGGATCAACTCTTGTAACATCATGTAACTGACTCATTGATCTGCTGCTCAGTCTTGGAGAGTCTGATCTCATGGATCAACTCTTGTAACATCATGTAACTGACTCATTGATCTGCTGCTCAGTCTTGGAGAGTCTGATCTCAAGTTTAATCCCTTTTCATTATGACCAGATGCTTCGGTGGCTGCGGGACCCTCACCACTTTTACTTGTAGAGCCACTGCTACCAGCTCCTAACGTTTGGGTATCTTGTGGGGGCACTTCGCGATCACCCAAACCCTCCGCCCCTCCGTGTTTTTTCAGCTCTTGGAGACCCCATTGACGTATCTCAATATCCTTTTTGAGCCGAGTATATTCCTGGACAACTTTTCTGAACTCTGGCCCAACAGCATGGTAAGTCTGAAGGGAATGTGACGTGGCTGTAAGTTCTGCCTCCATCTGCTTGATGGCAGCATGGAGGTGATCTCTGAGAAAATGAGAGTCAGAAACAAGAAAGGTTAAATTTGCCAACAGTCAAAACTTAAGAAAATTAATACACTTGATCAAAGCCAAAACCCCACCATACCCTAACAATTTATGACTTAGATTTGTACCACTTTCATTTTCCAAAACCCAACCGTACCCTAACATTTTATGACTTAAGATTTGTACCACTATCACTTGGCAATCATCTTTTCCTCTAACCATCAATTTCAATGATTACTCCCTAAAAAACATGTCCAACAAAATTCTGCCCAATTTTTTCATGTTCTTTACTCAAGAAAAATAAACAACTCTAAAAACAAAAATTTTCATATAAATCCTTTATAAAATGTAATATCGAGCCGGGTGGGGGGGTGGGTGGTGAACATTGGAAAGAATGTATTGTCATCAGTAATGAGTCTATGTGCCAAGTTTCAGCTCGATAGCTTGATGGGAAGTCAGTCACTTAACCGTCCGAAGATTCTGCCAGTCAGTCAGCCAGCCACAAACAAAAGCGAAGTTAATATAATGGATTTAAAAAAAGGTTTAAACTACGTCTAACGCACAAAAACATGTGCCAATAGTGTTACCAGACTATTCCTATAACTGAAATATTTGTTGTGATACTGATGATTTTTGTTCATCAGCTCTTAAAAATAAATATATAAGATACGATTTTTTATTGCTAAAAATTAATGGAAATGTTTTGTTTTATTACATTGTATTAATTTTAGCACATAAATAAATACATATTTTAACGATTTAAACACAAGACATCTTAAGTATTTATCTAGCATAGCGATCAGCCATCCCATGAACTCCTTTAGTGACATCAATGACTTAATCATATAGGTTTGTTCATATCTCAGCCTGAAACCTTGAACATGTAATGACATTGATCTTGAGTAGCATATTTTAAAATGTGCTCTCATTACTAATATTACTATGTATAACTTAACTTTATTAAATGCAGGCAATGTTAAGCCTTCGGCCCTAGCAGTTTCACAATTATTTAGTTTGAAAAGGATGAGTTGTTTTTTTGAAAAACCTCCGACACAACAATGGCTTAGATTATCAGAAAAGATCCTTATAGAGAAATTGAATCAATGCACCCTAAGGAATTTAGTCGATCTAGTTGTTATTTTAACAACTGAATCTCTGATCATATAAGAGGTACGAGTGACATTCACAATTCCTAAGTACATACAAATGTAGAATTCCTCTGAATACATGCAAAGTCACTGCTCTGATTATGTAAGAGGTAAAAGAGTGTGCATGATCTGTTGTTCTTATCTATCTTCTGCTAATATAATGTGCATGATCTGTTGTTCTTATCTATCTTCAGCTAACAGTAAATATTTAGCACTGTTAAACATATTCAAAGGTCTTAAAAAAAAAAAAAGATATAGCAGGTGCTTCAACATAACAGCTTATCATTTTGATGCCCCATCAAATGATTGTTCAAGGTAGTTGTCAAGAGTATCAAGAACACAAAATAACAGTTTTGTTCTCTCATGCTCCAAAGTGTACACCAAAAATCAATCAGTACCTTTTTTTTAAAAAAATACAAAAAGAACATAATGAATTTAATTGTGCAACCCGTCAAGGTGGGAAGCACCCACCCAGTACACATACATGGATCAAAGATAAAATAATGAACAACTTGTTTGCACAGTGTGCACCATTTTAAGCTTAGCACTAACAAAAGATTAACAAGACAAAAATCTTTCGACACAAAATTCAAAGAAGGCGTTTGTCTAAACCAAACAATAACATTTAAAAACTTTGACATACCCAATCTTCTTCAATGCTTTGACTGCATCAGCTGTGTAAGTATCACAAAGCACCCTCTGGTGGGTTAATCTGGAAAAGGAAATTGAAAATTAAGTTATACTAATACAATAGAGGAGAAAGGTTGTGGTGTAAAATAAAAATAAATTTTAAAATTTGACCAAGAGAAGATGAACAAAAAGAGACACAAATGAAGTAAAAAAAAAATATAATAATTATGTAAATGTTTTTAGTCACAGACTTAATTTACCAATTCTACCTGACTTTAAGACATAGACCTTCGCAGCGCGCCGTCAAGAACTCCACCTTGGCATCATCTATTTCAGCTTGATGCCCCAACTTGAAATCGTTGATCATGGTGTCAAGGACTGACAAACTTTCCAGCAGTTTCTAGAGAAATAATTATAATTCTTTTAACAGTGATTGTTCATGTCCATCTGGAAGAAACAACCGATTCTCAAACTCTGATGAACACTCTCACATGCTGTTGATGACACAAAAATTGATTCTCAAACTCTGATGAACGCTCTCACATGCTGTTGATGACAGTTAATTGACCTTTCACAGCAGATTCATATTACATTCTGTTGATCTCTTAAATGTACAAGACATTCATTCTATTGGCCTCTTAAATGTTGAATAAGACATTCTTTCTATTGGCCTCTTAAATGTTGTACCAGACATTCTTTCTGTTGGCCTCTTAAATGTTGCACAAGACATTCTTCCATAACTTCAGTTGCTTTCACTTTCATTTTACTTCAGCATATCTTACTGTCATACTTATTATATAATTTAATGGCTACCATCACATGACATTTCCTTATATATACAGGTGATGTTTTCAGTCAGTTTACCTGGTAGTAAGACCAGAACTGTCTGTCTCTCAGTTTACCTGGTAGTAAGACCAGAACTGTCTGTCTCTCATCGCCCTGTCTGCTTTAAGCCCCCTCGCCTCTTGAACTAAAGTTTGTTTCCTTTGTTCAATGAGATCAGGTAGGGAGGCTGCCTTAGCACTGAGAAGATGATCAGACCCAGACTCTTGACCTGCAAGTTAATAAGATTCCAGAAAATTAATTATATTATAAAGAAAAATTCTTAACCTTTGATATCATCAGGTCCCCCTTAAAGATTATGCATTTTTAAGGGAGGCCTCCATCAAGTTAGATATATGTACAGATCTGTTTACGCTCAAACTCTTAAAATCATACAACATCATCACAAAATCATTCAATACATTATCTTAATAGTAAAAAAATAAACACACAATATTTATAATGTATGCAACTTAAAATCGTACATTGTACACCAAAATCTTAAGAGTAAACAGGTCTGTATGTATGGTGAAAATTGTTCAATGACTGGTAAAAAAAAGACACTAGAAAAATTTCAAGACATAAAAGCATCTGATAATAACATGGCTATTTAAAGTAGCTCACTTCTGATTGGATCATAAAAAGCATAAAGATCGGCAACTTTTTTTCTCAGTCTTTCTTCTAGCATTGGGAGAACTATCTGCTGGAACTCTGGAAGAAACTGAATTAAGGTATTTCATGAGAAAAAAATGTAGAATGCAGAGAAAAATTTCACAGATAAATTAATCAGTTGGTGCAAATGAAACAATATGTGGTCAGCTTTAATAATGATCATACAGAATACAAATGTAAACTTTAAAGCTTGATGGTGGTCCAACAGTCTTATAATTAGTTAGCACAGTTAAATCATTAAGTTTTGTGGCACTGGTTCAGACTTAATATCTACAGAAATGAAAAAGGATTAAAAAAAATTTAGGGTTCAGTAAAAACTAATTTGAAATTCAAAACCAATTTTATCAAATAGTTGAATCATGACTAAATTTGTTTGTTTTTTTTTTGCAATCCTCAATTAGAAAACAAAGGGAAAACATCCAGATGCTGCTTAGTCTTTTTTAATGGACTGATGCACTTTATTTTGTTACTAGCATATTTGTGTGGAACGCTGTACGTTATTGTTAATAATATATTTGTGTGCACTGGTGTACGTTGTTATGATAATAGATTTGTAGATCTCACAACTTTGGAAAATGAAATTATTGCCCAGAGTTTTTGACTCTTAATGAAATGTGGCATTCATGTCTGGGAAAGTTAATTTCTATGAATCACCTTTCAGTATATACTATACCTTTCATTATAAATTATGCCTTTCGATATATATTATACTTTTCAGTATGTATTCTATCGGCATCCTTCCGTCTCGTGAGACGATGGTGCGTCACCGTTTGGTTGGGTTGCATTTTCTCGAGTGGCTGTGCAGTCCTATCCTTGAGTGACAGTCTTTACCACAGTTTTTACACACGAGTTCCGTGCTTCTAAATGTTTTGGCCTTTCTCCTAGCTCTTCTGTCTGCAGCCTCTTCCATTCTTCACTCCTCGGCTACCATGACGCCCTCTTTGACAACTGTGCGCCACGTAGATCGGTCTTTTGCCTTACACTCCCAGTCACTTGTATGTATTTTGGCTGCTTTCATGTCCCTTTGACAGACATCTTTAAATTCTCCTCGGCTACCATGACGCCCTCTTTGACAACTGTGCGCCACGTAGATCGGTCTTTTGCCTTACACTCCCAGTCACTTGTATGTATTTTGGCTGCTTTCATGTCCCTTTGACAGACATCTTTAAATTGCAGACGTGGGCGACCTGTTTTCCTCTTTCCCGAAGCAAGTTCACCATATAGGAGGTCTTTCGGAATGCGGCCGGGACTCATTCTTTTAACATGACCTAGCCATCTCAGGTGTCTTTCACTAAGGATTGTGAACATGCTTTGGGTATTCGCACGCATTAGGACCTCACTATTAGTCACTTTTTCTTGCCATTTAATACCAAGGATGCGACGCAGGCATCTCATATGGAAGCTATTAAGCTTGCGCTCTTGGGATGTATAGGTGGTCCATGTCTCGCTCCCGTATAGTAGTGTACTGATGACACAAGCTCGATAGACGCACAGTTTGGTTTTCTCCATTAGCTTGGTGTTTTGCCAGACTCGTTTATTTAGTTTAGCCATTGTGGCAGCTGCCTTGCCTATTCTGCTGTTAATTTCTTCTTCAATGGACAGTGTGTTGGAGACCTTGGACCCCAAGTAGGTGAAGCTGTCCACAACCTCCAAGTTTTCGTTATCGATTTTTATGTTAGGTGGAGGTCGAGTGTCTTGGGCCATGATGTTTGTCTTTTTCAAGCTGATTTGCAGACCAAATTCTTTGCAGGCATTGGAGAAGCTTGACACGAGTTGTTGCAAACCAATTTCTGTGTGTGCGGTTAGAGCCGCATCATCCGCAAATAGTAGCTCGCGAATAAGGACATCTGTCGTTTTGGTCTTGGCTCGGAGGCGGGCAGTGTTGAAAAGTCCTCCATCAGCTCTGGTGTGTAACCAGATTCCCTCACTGCTATCCTTGAATGCATATCGAAGTAGTACAGAGAAGAATATTGCGAACAGTGTTGGTGCGAGTACACAACCTTGTTTAACTCCGCTGCTGACTGGAAAGGCTTCTGACTTGGCTCCATCGAACTGCACTGTACCCTGCATATTTTCATGGAACTCTCTGATGATGGCAAGTAGGTGAGGGGGACAGCCGATTTTTGCCAGTATTTTGAATAGCCCGTTGCGACTGACGTAATCAAAGGCTTTTGTAAGGTCCACAAAGGCAATGTACAGTGGCATCTGCTGCTCTCTGCATTTTTCCTGGAGCTGTCGTATGGAGAGCACCATGTCTATGGTAGACCGCCCAGACCGGAAACCGCACTGAGATTCTGGATAGACACGGGATGCTAGACTCTGTAAACGTGTTAGTATGACACGGGCAAAGGCCTTTCCTACAATACTAAGGAGTGAAATGCCGCGATAATTATTGCAATCACTCCTATCACCTTTGTTTTTATATAGTGTCACTATATTTGCATCCTTTAGGTCTTGGGGGATGTAGCCCTGTTCCCAGCAGAGGGACAGAATCTCGTGCAATGGTTGGAGTAAAGCTATCTTACCACTCTTTAGAGCCTCTGGTGGTATTCCATCATCCCCAGGCGCTTTTCCACAAGCTAGGCTATCAATAGCTTTGCTCAGCTCTTCCTGTGAGGGCACGACATCAAGTTCTTCCATGAGTGGCATATCTGGTATGTCATCTAGAGCGGTGCTGGAGACTGTGGTAACTGTTGAATACAATTCCAGATAATGCTCAACCCACCGTTTTAGCTGTGCTGCCCGGTCTTGGATAATTTCTCCATTTTTGGACTTTAGAGGAGCAACTTTGGACGTCAAGGGGCCAGTTGCCTTTTTGTTTTCGTACATTGCTTTTGCATCGCCCATATCTGCAGCTGACTGTATGCTGGAACAGAGGTTAAGCCAGTAGGTATTGGCACAATTACGTGCAACCTTTTGGGCAAGTGACTTGGCTGTTTTTAAGGCATGCAACCTGTCGGGTGTAGGCTTTTCCTTGTAAGCCGTAAGAGCTTTCCTTTTGGCTTCAGTGACAGGTTTCATCTCGTCCCAATGTTCATCAAACCAGTCCGTGTTTTTGTGAGATTTTTTGCCAAAGGCCTGTATTGCGGATGTATAGATTGTGTCTCTGAGATGCGTCCATTTCGAGTCAATGGTGACGCATGGGGACATCCTTGAGATACCTTCCTTCACCTTGTCTGTGAACAGCTGCGTTAGCGCAGGGTCTTTCATGCAGAAGGTATTGATACGTGGACGTCCCTTTTTCTTGGAGTGGTACGAGTTTTTCCTCATTATTCGTACCTTGCTGGTGACAAGGGAGTGATCCGTGTCACAGTCGGCACTGTGATAGCTGCGAGTGAGTAGGATGCTAGCTAGTTGTGCACGCCTGGTGATGATGAGGTCCAGCTGGTGCCATTGGCGGGATCGATCAGTATGTATTATACCTTTCAGTACCGGTATATATCATGACCAATAAATGAAAAAAAAACTTGTGTGATATTAAAATTCATTTCAGAGAATGCACTAACTTAACACTCTTGTTTACAGAACCATCATTCTTACACATTTATATACTCAAACAAATAGCTACCTACACTTTTAACTGGATTGAGGCGTTCAATGTCGGATGCTGTTAAACCAAAAAGGGTTGACTTTGAGTTGAGGCTTGAAGGGAAATGTAGGTAGTCGCCGATTTCATTATAGGCAAGTGTTTTTCTGAAAATGACCTGAAACTGATTCAAAATTTTTATATTTTTATTTTTGGTTGGGAAGAAATGTTAAGAATTCGGAGGATCCCAGGTTAAAAAAAAAAAGATTCTCTAGAATAATAAACCTAACTCTTCACTGACCCATATGCTATCATTACTATAATTGGGGTCAGTGTTTATTTCTTTAGTGCATTTTTACCTGATGTCTGTCTGCTTATTAAAACTGTATTTTATTAAGATAAAATAAAGAACACTCGGCGAAAGAGGTGGGATATTTATTTATTTAATTTTTATCTAATGTGAGGATGAGTGCCAAGTGATTCCCAATAAATGATTTAAATGATTTATTCACACTAATATCAGGCAAACCTTTTTTTCATCAGCAGAGAGAGTTCCTTCTTGACCTCTTACTTCTAAATCAGTCAACAGCTCATTAAGCTCATGGTAACTGTTGTGGTTCATCAGCCAGCTGTAGCGAGCTTGGTGCAAATTGCGTTTGGCCTGTGAAGATGAATTTATTTCAATTTTTAAACTTAATTTAATAATAGAAAATCAATATTTCATAATTTAAGGCAGGTATCAGAAAGGTTGAACAATTTTATTTTTTATTTCTTTAGTTCATAATTAAAACTTTGAAATAGTGATGACCTTTTAAAATTAAATATTGCGGCTAAAGTTGTTTCAGTTGATTAGTATTACTTAGTGAGTCTGGGACTGAGAACAAAATATCCCTGTCATTCTCCATATACTAAAAATAGTTTACAAAATGAAATATGTTTAAAGTCATACAAGATCCAGCTTTTTTTCCATATACTGACTGGCTCCATTAAGAGCAAGTTTTTCAATTAATTGTAATAGCAGGCTGGAGAATTTAGGATACTTGGATACTTCTTCATCCGTCATAGTCCTTGGCCATGAATCTGGAAAGAAAAATGGAAATAAAACTATACTTCAAACATCATTATTTAAAACTGCATGTCATTTTCTCATAAACCCATTTTAATTTTAAGATAGCAGAAATTTCAAAGTGCATACAGGCCATATGAATGAACTTAAAATAATTCAATAACTATTATTATTTAAGCCTAGCTATATAATTTAAATTGAGTATGAAATTATGGTATGTACTTTTCATTGTACTTGTATTGCTGTTTTTACTATAATGGAATCATCATTACAATAATTAACAAAGTGCAGTGATCTGGTAAATATTGTACTAACTCAATAATATATGGTAAAAATATCAAGGTTAATCACTCAGCTTCATTGATGCTGACCTTTCTATATTACATATTAATAATATTACAAGCAGACGAATCATAAAGATATTTACTACCAAAAAAAAGTTAGTGCATAGTGCAAAATTGAAAGTAGCAACTTTATTTTGGGGTATTGCTCAGATATTCAATATGTTGAGAACACCAAAGAAGAAGAGAGAAAAGAACATCAGCAATCGCCGTCTTGCCTCGTGCAGTTTCAGTTGCATTGCGGGGTATTTTACTTTTAATAACGGTACTGCGCAACACAGTTACAGATATTTGCCCGATATTTAGATTAAGTTGTAATCTAGTGATAACAGCATGTTGTAGTCAAAAGGGCGGAAACAGATATTGTTAATTGAATTGTGCATCATCCCTATGAAAAATTGACCCCTCAGAGGCTGCAATTATTTATAGGGCTAAACTCACTTTACACTGTCACTTCATTTTAATAAACTATATCTTTTAAAATATTTTGAGAGCCGCAAGCCATTTGATGCCTTTGGCCTACAGTTTGAAAATTTACAATAAAAAAAAAAGAGCAGCATCTATTCCTTCAAAGAGATGAATGATCTTTCTCTATGCAATCTAATGAAAATGAATTGCTGCTGATAATGCTGTCTAAGGTCCTTGATTCTGCTATCTTTTAACAGTTTACTACCAAAGTATATTCAGGCAATATCCATGACATATATTATCCATGTTTTTGCAAAGTACACCACTATGGAAAAATAAATAGAATTCCCTTTTCTTATCCAATTTTAAAATGCATTGTTGCATCATCATTGTTATTGAATTGTTACTTCTACTGTAAGAGCGAGACTAAGTCAAACTATTTCTAGGGGGTGCAAGGCTTAAGAATTACAATTGGATAGGGGGGTGCATAATATACAAAGTTGAAAAGGTTTGCTACTTTAGGCAAACCCTGCACTTTTTTCAACTCAGTTGATTGAGTTGACAACTGTGTGTGTTTGGTAAAATGAAGTGTTTAGGCCTGCCGTACACTATTATACACAACATAGGGTAAAGAAAGGGAGACAACTTCAAAATTTGTATGGAAATGATAGAAGAATCAAGAGTTTTTAATTTTTGGACGTTGGTGCTCTTTCAATGATGAAAGGACTATTTTGCCATATAATTGTGGTATTTATCCACACATTTCCAGTGGTGGACATCTTGGCCTACATTTCTAATTAAGTTTTGCCTTTTTAAACCTTTAAATTGACACCAATACATTAGAAATTCATAGGTATATATAAGGCATCTTTCCTTACAAAATTTTTAAAGAAGATAAAAATATATGTCTTTCATATTAAATCTTCCTCTACAATATATATTAATGCATATGTGTGCCAATTCTTATTGATTTTGGTTATTTCTGCCATTAGTTATATATGATTAACCAGGATTATCATAAGGTCACTCAGCCCAATTTTGACCATGCCCTCCTTTTCAATGACGGAAGATGCCAATACTTATGAAATAATTATTACCACTATTCAGTCTATTCACATCAAAATATTTGTTAATTTGTTTATTACAATGAACTTAGAAGGCATTTAAACAGGTATCAGGTATTTTAATTTGACTCAATTTGAGGTTTAAAAACCAGGTAGAGTCCATATTATAATTATCTTATTTAATGTGTGCAAAACATTGTTGTCATGGGCAACCATCCAGTCACTTGCATGTACTATACTACTTATACTTATATTATTCAAAAATAAAAAGGGCATCAGATGTAAACAATTAAGTCACCAATAAATTATCAGCGGTGCTATTAGGCTCGTAGCTGGGCTCTTTCTAATGAAAAGTATACTATTTGAGATTTGGGACCTTGGTACAGAGGATTACAGTAAGGCTGCGGCTATTCGGACCCAAGATTCAGAAGTGAGAGGTTGGTGTGATAAAAAAAACATTTAAAATATTATAGTTGGGTTGGTAAGACAAAATTTGGTATCAAATAATAGATAATCAAATGAACTATATTTTTGTAAACTTACTTCTTCAGTTTAACTAAACAAAGTGGATATTCGTACCCAGGTACCAGAAGTGAGAGGTTGGGATTAAAAAACTATTTAAAATTTAAACTACCACTAGTGACATAGGAATAGCATTTAATCTCAAGAGATCAGGGTCCGAATAGCGTAACAAATACTAACACCAAGGGAACTGGCTCATTAAAAATTCATTGTACAAAAAGTACTAGAGTAGAGCTAGAAAGGTTGGTCAATACAAAGAAAATGCGCCATGACGTCATTTACGGGTTTTTGTAAAGTTTCTGTTTTGGATTCACTCCCTTTGTTGTTGTTTTTTTTGTTGCTTATTACTAGAGTTAAATTTTCCTTCATATGACCATGGCATGTTTTTAACTAAAATTCTATTGGGTGATAATTATAATTTTTAAAAATTTCAATAAAGTGTAGTATTCTATGACTGAAACGTGACTGTTACAGTTAAGTATCAGTATCACAATCACCCAGTTGTATCCAACTATCAACTCAGAACTGTCGTACACTGACACACTGTACTGTACTGTATAAAACATTTAATAAAAGGTTTATCATCCCTGTTGGAATCTATCATAATCCTACTGCATGTGATGTCAGATAATTCATATACATAGAAACAGTTGGAAACGTATTTTTACCTAAAAATGCAGTCATTTTTTAATTATTTATTTGCAAAGACGATTACAAAAACGTAACTCCCGCTGGTAATGATTAGGAGAAAGGTTTTACTAATTAACGAGAAATCAAAATAATCCATATAAATGCGGTAACAAATTTAATGTACTCTGGTTTGGCAAAATCATCATGAGTTACAATAATAATTTAAATTTAGCACAAAAAAAAAAACAAAAAAAAAACAAAAAACGAAGACTGCAAAACTCAAGTATATTATAAGTTATAGTTTACAGAAAATTATAAAATAATTAAATCATAAGTGTTCTTTTAGATGAAATTAATATTTAATTCGTATTAAATAATATTGATAGACACCAAAACCACCCATTAACGTATATTAATAAATAGATTTTAAAAAATTAATATGTTTACAATGGTATTTTTTACGTACAGTTAGACGCTGTGTTAAATAACGTATAAATCCTTTATTGGGCGCCAACCCCCAGGCCCCATCCATCATATGCCAATATATTTGTTGGTGAAGATTATAGGCATCATAAAATATTAAAAGCTCACTTTCAAGTATGTGGTCATATGTTTTGCATGGTATTTTCAAAAGTTAATACTTTATTGAAAGTAGTTTTTAAACACTGTATGCAGGAACGACCTTGGCAACTTTGGTACCCCAGGCAGTTCACAATTTTGGCCCTCCTTCCACTTACAAATGTTTAGGTTTTTATTAACAGTTAATAATTTAAATGCGTGCTGCTGGAAGAGACATAGTCCTAAAATAGTAATATTATTCAGGCAAATATATATAAACAATAGAAAATAATTATCATTTAGCTTAAAAAGTAATCGCTTAGAAATTAAAACGTCTTTTCACTAAAGAGTGTTCAACCCTTTAAATATATATATATATATATATATATATATATATATATATATATATATATACATATATATATATAATTTTAAAATAAAAATAAAAACCTGACTTAAAGCATACAATAACTATACACATTTTATATATAGATTAAAAAGTAATCGCTTAGAAATTAAAACGTCTTTTCACTAAAGAGTGTTCAACACTATATATATATATATATATATATATATATATATATATATATATATATATATATACATATATATATATAATTTTAAAATACAAATAAAAACCCGACTTAAAGCATACAATAACTATACACATTTTATTATTTTTTAAACAAATGTAGTTGGCACAATAACTAGTTGACTATTATATTACAACCAAACTTTTCTGGCTGTTGTGGGAGAAAAAGCATTGATGACATCATCATGATCTAGCCAAGGCCTGCACAACTCAAAATGTAAGAAGGGCCTACTTTATGAAAAATTGCGCGGCCCGAAATAAAATAGGATTGGGGGGTGGGGAGCTATTTAGAAAATAATAATAAAAAATAATATTTCGTTACTTGGCGGACCGCAAAGTGGATGCAGACGGGTCGCATACGGCCTGCGGGCTGTATGTTAACTGTTGTGTAGGCCTGATCTAGGCGACATTTATCATCATATTAACCTTTCCTTAGTCAAATTTTTAGCAAAGTTCAATTAAAAAAGAAATTACTATATTTGGACAAACGTCAAGCAGAGCCATCCCGTGACTTTTGGACGCCCACAGCCACTTTTAGGTTTTTTGTCCCTTGCATTCAAAGTTGTTAGTTGTTTTTTTTTATCCACATCAAAACTTTGGGCCAGTCCAAACAATTGCGTAGGAAGTGTTGTGCAGATGTGGAGGTTCCCTATATCATATCTTTTTTTTTTAGAAAATATTTGATGGGGGTGGCATTTGTCGGCCAACTGCAGAGTTTTTTTTTTGTTGTTGTTGTTGTTGTTTTTGTTTGTTTGTTTGTTGTAAACTATTCAATCGTGCTTTTTGTGAACGAGGAAACTCTCACTTAAAACACAAAGGAGCTCACCCTACAGCAGGGGTCTCAAACTCAAATTATCCGGGGGCTACAGGGGGTAAAGTCAGAGTGAGACTGGGCCGCATCAAGTATTCCACAAAAAAGCGATTACAGTACAAATTCTATAAAGTACAATCTACTCAACATTTATTAATAACAAATAAAAACATTAAGGGTTCTCAAGAACTAGGCTTCACTTTCTTTATCCTACTCCTTGCTGCCATCCTTCTCCATGAAGGCTTTGATTTCTACTTTCAAGTCAAAAAAAACTTTTCAAGACATTTCCCCTACTGAGCCAACGTACCTTGGTGAAGTAGATAGCATCATCATATGCCGACTCTATTTCATTTTAAAAGGCGTGGAACTGAAAGTGCTTCAAGCCCCTGGATCTGAGAGAATAAATTCTGATTTATTATTTTTATGTAGAAAAGGCCTTTTGACTAACCCTATTTGGAAAGTGACCAAGCTGACAGGCTCGGAATTCCCCTCACTCTTCACTCGTACGCACAAGCGGCAATTTTAAATGGGACTCTGATACTTTGCCAGATTGCTACGATTTACACACTTATGGTTGTCCATTACCCACTAACTGACATTTCAAACTTTTGATATATGTATCTACAATATTCAAAGCGTGTTTTCTCAAAACCACACTTTGACCATATTTGTCTCATAAAATCTATAAAATAGAAACCTTTAGTCCGATTTTTAAGTGGTTTTTACCCTTTTCTCAATGTCCAAACATAAAAATAAAATATATAAAATACAAATCAGATGTAGACTAGTCGGTGAGATTCGACTGAAACCGTCGCGAGGGGTGCCATTATAGATATTATTTATGAGAATGGGGAAAATGCGCGGGCCGCAATAACACTAAACTTTTCTGTCAGATATCGGGCCGCAAAATATCGTATTGCGGGCCTCAGCCTCAATGGCCCGCGGGCAGCGAGTTTAAGAACCCTGCCCAACAGTGTTTAAAATATACATATATGGGCGCTCCAGGTCTGCTTTGCCTGTCTGAAAGATCTCTTCATCACTCTCTGTTTTAAGCACGATAAAGGTAAATTTATTGTATTTTCTATTACAGATAATAAGTAGTAAGAGTAAGTGCCACATCTTTTTGCTGTACTTAATTTTTAAATTATTATCATTAAAAAATATAAATATGTTTGATCACTTACGACATTTAGTCGTACTAGGAAAACTAGAATTTTTAAAGATATAAACGATAACTACAATTTTATCAAATAATGTACTTTTATTGTTTACGGAAATGCTACACTATGCTTTTCTTGAAAGCTGAATAGGGAATAATTTAACGTTCATGTAGAAATTTTACATAAACTATGGGTCAAATTGAATGGGCGATGTGGGCTAATGAACAGGCTATTGCCAGTTGTTTTGGTAGGCTAGTTAATTTGACTGAATCTAGCTTTTTAAGTACGGGAGGCCTAATTACTAATAAAACTTAATAATTATATTATTATTAATTATTAATTTATTAATTATAATTTACTTGCACAGTGGGCTGTGAGCTTAAAATTAAAAGTAAGTTCAAGTGTAAGCGGTATCTAGCGAAACGTTCACATCTTATTGTCCTGTCTTTTGATTCAAGCTTTAACATACCTTGTTCTACTCTTTCATTAAAAGGATCTAACTTCTTTGGCACTCTTTGGTGGTCAAAGGTTGAAATAGCTGAGTCTCAACATTATGTCATGTTAAGCAGCAGATGGGCTTAATAATTCATGAGGAAACTGTCTAATTTTGTCAACAATGTAGTTACATTACATGTAATTGGAATGGAGGATAGCAACTACGGTCATAACATTTACATTTAGAGCACCGCTGTAACAATACATATCATTCAACTATATTTAAGTTGCCTATGCCTATACTATATGCTTGCACATCATTGTTGCTTAAAGAGCAACTGCTTCACCAGCATAAAAACCCTACTGGGTATCTGGAAATTTTTTTGAAAGAAATTTTGAGGACGGAAAGTTGATTGACGGAAGTTTGTTTGAACGGATCAGAATTTGCATCAAATTTCTTTTTGAATGCATTATTTTGTTTTACTATATAGTATAGTGCGTTCAAAAAGAAATTTGACGAAAATTTGATCGTGTGAACCGGAAAAAAAATCGACCTAACTTCCGTTCGATCAAACCTCAGTCGATCAATTTTCTGTCGACAAAATTTCTCTCAAACAAATTCCGGTAACCCTTCACCAGTGCAAGGTGGCAGCACAGGAGTTTTGTCCCTTTTTTGTACCGGTACCTCCAACATTCCAGGAACTGCACCAACTTTGATATCTGATAGCCAAAGATAGCTGTGTGATGTTCCTTTCAATGCACAATGATTGTCAAAATACAGTCAGTTTACTGCAAAAGGTTAACTAATGTGCAGAAACAACAGTGAATTAATTACAAATTTAAAGTTTAAGTTAAGTATGTATTCACAGGACCATAAATTGAGACTTCATACAATGCAATAAATAATTATTTTGTTAATAGTTTCAGCTCTTGGAGGAATTTTGGCAGTTGTTGGGCAGTTCAAATTGTGGGGCATTGGAGTTTACGCAATGTATCCTTACTAAAGTACAGTAATTTATATTTGCTTAATTTTCTTTGAAATTTGTGTTAGTAATAATTACGACAAAATAGTATAGTAAAATACTTTTTATTTAATGAAAAATTATTTGTGATTTTTATAATGTAAACAAGTCAAATAGTTAATAAAAACAGATTGTAAAACAATGAGAACATTTTATTTTTAGCATATGAATTACATGGTGTTTCAGATTGTTACCAGATCTTCTCCCCTGCACCTCCCACTATCTACCACTAGATGAAAAGATTGTACAGCTTTAATCCCTTTATGGAAAAACGTACTTCTGTTAATTTGCAGTTTATTTTAAACAAACAAAAAAGATTTGTAGGTTTTTAGCTATTTATTAAATGTTCGAATCCCTGGTGCTATACAGTATTACTCTCTGGCTCAAAATCTTTCTTCGAAGTCTTCCTTAACATTATTACAGAGTGATAGCTGTTGTTACATTAATTTTGGAGTACCCTAGAGGAAAAAGACAAAAGGGTACATCACACCCAAGGAAGTAAGTGTCAATATAGGTAGCAGGTGTTCAAAGTTATAATTTCCTTTAAAACAATGCAAATGAACTTATTTTACTGTTCATTATCCTTTTCTTTGAAGATTAAATTTGATTATTTAGCAACCATAGTTGTAATTAAATGATCTATCTTCTGCAATTTATTGGGGTTTCTGTCTTCTAAATTAGTTGTGATTATAACAAAATTATATTTTTTTTATTAACATTAGTGTCTTATCATCACATCCTGAATAGGGTTAAAAAAACTGCTAAAAAGGCTCTCAAATTTAATATGTATTTGATTCAAAGCACTCTTTAAGGGCCTCTGCTGTAGAGAACTATGAAATTTAAAAAAAAATTATTTTATTTTGCTTTGCACAACAAGTAGATAGGCAAGCTCTCACATCAATAATTCCTGTGTACTTAAAGTTGACTTCCAAGTTCTTTGAGCTAAGTTTTTCCATTATGTCCAACTTTGACTGCTGATGAAGATATGTAACACTGCACCGCATAATGATAATATTCACATTTGTAATGATGACTGAACATAGTTCATGATACATCTATTCCTCTTTAGAAAATAACAAGTGAAGTCACTCATACATTCTATCTCTCTTTACTAGGCATGAGACAAGATCTTGCTTCTGGTTATTCGTTCCATTACAATATGGCTACTTAAGCAGTTCCTCCCTCTCTATACTATAAATATATGTATGTATCACTACACCTACAGGCAATAGTGCTTTCCACTCAGCTGCAAATGAACATTAAATATCATCACATTACGGAAACTTTATTTAGTTTGTTATCTTTGAGGCTTTCCTCTACTCTGTTACGTTATATTTCATGTCACATCACTAGCTGAGAATGAAAGATAATTATAAAAACATAATTATGTAACACCAACAAATTTTCCAGTATTATTGATCATAATTGATGCATAAAAAAAGTTTAATGTTTAGATTTCAGCACCCCCTCACAAGTGTTGTGAGTCAAGGAAGGCTACTCACCAGAAATTATTTTGTCAGATTTGTCCTTTATTTAAGGTGACTACAAAATTATCTATTTTAATTATTAAATAAGGCTACTCACCAGCAATTATTTTGACAGATTTGTTCTTTATTTAAGGTGATTATAAAAGTTTATATTTTAATTACTCAATAAATTAATATGTTAAAATAAGCATTTGAATGTAATATAATCAGTTCTTCTTCTTCTTCTTCTATATCTTAAGGGCCCACGATCAATTTATTGATCATTTTGGCTCCTATGCATGTAGATGGGATTTGCAATGTTTCTGTTACTGGTGGTGATGAGGAAATTATGCACTAGGGGTTTGAAGGCTTGAGGCATCCTGATTGTCTTGGGCAGGAATGAGCAGCTCCTATACTGGCTTCTTGCTGGTATGAGCCTGAATTGCCTGTCATGGCCTCGTCGCTGTCTATGGGGGAGAGGGACGAGTTTCTGTTTAATACTGGAACAGTGAATGACATAAATTACAAATTACAATTAGATGAAGATCACTTTTGTTAATTTCTTCCATTTTCCTTTTAAATCAGTGTAGCATAATAAATAATGAAATATATATAACACATTGAGCATTACATAACGATAACATTTTAAAAAACATATATCTTCTATAGCATCAGTGTCCCTTGCTGTTTTATGCTGCCAACAGTTCTTGGTGCTTTATGCTATATGATCACAAGCATAATATACCTTGTGGTATGTGTGGAAACATTTTAAAATACATTTCTTACAAGAACTAAAGTTTTAATGTATTTGTTGTTGTATACATTCTTTAGAGTACCAGTAATCATGATGCCCTTTGTGTGGTTCTCCTACCCTTTTAACTGATTGTGTTTTATAAATATTTAAAATGTTAAATTGAATCATTTGCTTTCATTGATTCATTCTATTGCTCCATCATCCATGGCCCCAGATTCCAGATTGCTGAAGATTTTAAACTGAATTCTTAATATAATTTCATTGACCAACTGTTGCAATTTTTTCATAAGGCTGGTATCAGAGGTGAAGAATGGCTACCAATTATTCCTAACAAGGAAGAAGTTGGACCAAGGGTTATTGAACAGCCTACAAGACCACCACCAAGACGACCGGACACTTCACAATCAGGAAGCACAATAATTTCAGAAAGCAACAGAAATAGAATATAACTGTCCCAAATTTTCACATTTTGTCATTTGTACATTAAATTCAAAACGTTTGTTATTTTTAAATTGAAATCATATTTCAGAATGCACTTGTTGGATATGACCAATAATGTGAAATTACTCTCTAAAAAGATTTATAGCAAAAAAGAAATATATTTTATTTTCAACTGTAGTTTTACCATACGGGTACAATGTAATCATGCATAAATTAAATAAATTTTTCTCCTAGTTCAGAAACATTTGTTAGATTTAAATATATTGTGTTTTGAAGTTGTGGCTTTCTGGATTTTGATCAAAGAATTTTAAAAATAAATTGCAAAACCAATTTTTATCTGAAATTTTTCATCTGTTTATAAAGTTGAATTTTATCAAGTTTAACACTGAGATGGTTTACGTAATGTGTTTTCACTTATTTTAAGCATTTAGATTTTTGGCCTTTGGCTCGACCAAGCAAGTATCAGTTACTAGCTTTATAGCCGTATAAAAATTAATTATTTCACAGGTTGGGGAGAACTTTTGAGATTAGCTGGCTCTGGACTCTATCCCATCTAATCATGGAGAATACTATCATCAAACACTGCCCACTCGCTATCTATTGTGTGTGGAAATGCATGGCATGAGGAACTAGTTAAAGCCATGTAAATTTTTGTTTGCATCTCTGGCAATCAGTGTATCTTTTTGATGTCATTAATACAAAAAATCTATGTGCAATAATCTGCTAACTAGACAACACAGTAAACAACAGATTTTCTTTGTTCAAAATTGTTTTTAAAAACTTTTGAATACAACTCACTTTTAATTAAAAATTCCTTGATTTAGCTTGTATTTATTAATTTTAATTTTTGTCACCCGCATCATCACTATTAATGAATTCCATTTTGTTAGCTTCTTGATTGCTTTTCAATGTTCATTAATACAATATTGTACTATATTTATGTCATTCTTAAAGAAAATATAAGAAATTTTATGGAGATTAAGCATATAAAAATGTTCCTTACATTTATTATATCCCCCTTCATTTTTTGTGTCTGTTAAATCTTCCCCCTTGCCTTTACTGGTACCCAGTATACATATGTTCATGCCCTAAGTTGTAATAATTAAAGTGGTATTTATTATTAGGTACATAGAAGGCCCATTATTGACTGTGATTGTCATTAAGGGATTTCTGTACTGATGGGAAATTTTAAATGCTTTTCTACCTGTGGTTTATTATCTCTGGTGGCTAGAGTTTGAAGAGTTATTATACATGAGCTTATTTTATGTGCATATTTGCAAACAATTTAGTTAATGTTTTAAAGAACTCCATTATGCTTGCCTTTTTTAAAAAAATGCACATGGATGGTGTTGATTTTATAAAATGTGAAAATATATATTTCATCCCCAACTCAAATCTTCTTGATGCCACTTTTAATGTGTATTGTGCCTTATAGTAAGTTATATAAACAAAAATGTTAAAATGTATATAAAGTCATTCCAATTTCAAATAAATATGATATATTACAAATATATCTTGGCTCATTAATTCCATTGCTAGTGTTACACTTTTATGTTGTGAGAAGCTTATTGCATAGGGCAGAGGTTTCCAAACTGCTTCCTCATAGGTGCACCATGAAATGGAAAAAAAAAAGGCCAAATTGAACATAATCGACATAAGGCACCTTGGGCCCAGCAAGGACGCTGCGACTCAAAACAAATTATTAAAAACCTAGGGAATCAAAGGTATGAGCTGGCTTTAGTAAAATAAAGGAACACAAAACTATCTACTTTAAAATCTTCTAATAAATATAATAAATCAGAAATAATTAGATGTAAAATGTTAGTAATTAGATTTTTAAAAAAAAAGAAGAAAGGAAATAAAATAAGTTATAAGTACAATAATAGTATAAACATCATTGCATCAAACGTTTTGACATTACTCTCCTTTAACTTTCCCTCTCTTTTCTCAAATTAAATCAATCTAAAGAGGTAGCAAGTAATAACAAAACTACACATTAGGCCTCCATTGTCCCAAACGTCAAAGTCAGAACAGTAACAGGGAACTCTGTTAAAAGATGGTTTAGTCTCCTGTGCTTTCAAGAAGTATCATGATTATTGTTGAACCCCATATATATAAGAGAATTATCCAATATTGGGTATTGTCCCATCTTGTTATGTGTCAATCACCAGGCTCTGGTTTCACCAATCTAATTCCCCCTAGGGATTTCTTTTGCTCCACTGGCTAATTTTTTTTGGGTAAACTTCCCCATGCCTATGCAGTACTTTTGTTTTCTTTTATTGCTTGAATCAATATTTTTTAAGTAGACCATCATACTCCTGATACATCAGCTATTTTGAAACTCTTTGTAACTGTTCTTTGCCAGTGTAGAGTGTATTTTATTATCCTTGGCATTTAATTTAGGCGTAGGTCTCAGAAATGATATATTACAGTTTCATTCGCATGTCTGCAGAGGGGGAACATTGGTGTTTTATCTAGTTTTATGCAGTTAAGGTGAAAATTAAGTTGTATGGGCGAAACAAATCTGGCTTGTTCATGTCTGAGCAGGCAGGTTATTGGATGTATGGAGCATGGCTGGGCATATGTGCAAACACACACCTTTCTGTTGAGGCCATTGCACATCCATTTGACTACTTAAAAAAATAAAATTTTAACATTTTTTTAAAGCTCTGATAATCTCTTTGGCAGTGTTGAGTCAGGTAGGTATGTTTGACTGTTCATTGCAGGCTCCAAGCCTTCCTATTTTGTCTGCTCTCTCATTTTCCTGCATATTGTTAGGTCTTTGTATTCATTATAAGGTAGCTGGACTGCATATGTTTATTATTTTACATGCTTTTTCAAAATTCTACATTATTAGTCAAATTTCTTAAATTCTACATAAAAAATATTTTAGAACAAAACTTAGACGTGTTAGTAGTACTTAGAGCTTATTTATACGTCATGCATAAAAGAACTTTTCACTTACATACCGGTAAGGCAGCCGTACACGGAACATCTGAATCTTTTTTATACGCTTGATGTCAAACTATTTTAACGCCTACTTCCGGCTTACAGAAAAATCACTCACTAAAACAATAAAAAAAAAAAAAAAAAAGTAAATAATAGGATAATATTGATCACACAAGTAGTGCTTTTTTTAAACGCTTGAAGTCAAAATATTTTAACCCCCACTTACGGCTTACAAAAAAATCAATCAATAAAACAAAAAAAAAAAAAAAAAAAAAGTAAATAATAGGATAATATTGATCACACAAGTAGTGCTGTAATTAATAAATAATAAGTACACAGAACACATGGCTGAACACATTGTTATTTCTTAAATGCTATTTTGATTTTCAGAAAAGGTAATTCTATAAAAGCTTTGGGCTTTGACATACCGTGTAGTTGCATTTAATTTTAATTTTTAATATTATGACATGAAAATTGCCGGAAGATAAATCAGTCCGAGCTCAAATATTTTTGATTTTATGATTTTATCAAGGAATTTAATATACGAGATGGCTAGTAGAAGTAGTACAAAAGACACTAAACAGTGACTGAGACTGTGACTAAGTCAAAGACAACTGAGTGAGTACTCAGTAGAGTTGCTACACTAAATAAATAGAGGAACAACATTAACATCATTATATTTATATGATGAATACGTTATTATTAGCCTAAACTTTAGGTTGAAAAGACAGGACAATTAAAAATTTTAAAATTAAAAAGGACCTTTGGGCTATAATAAAGTAGAGTATATACCTTCTCGGCAAACAGTACACAAAAAAAAAGCTTTATTTTTTTAAAGGAGAATAAAGTAACTGTTGTTTCTTTTTGTATTGTTAAAATAATATATTTTTATTTTGTAATTTTTAACTGAATGCCAATGCAATATTACAACTCAGGACTAACCTAAACATGTGTCAATTGTGTCTCAAAAACCAGTACTGGAAAAAAAATGATTAAATGACGAACTAGTTGTAGTAGGCCCATTGACATATTACTGTTAAGAAAAAATCAACTCAACTTATTATAAAACTGAGTCACCCAGTCGTTAATGACAGACTAAACCCCCCCCCCCCCCCCCCCCCCTTTTTTTTTTTGCAGAACAAAAAATCCTGTGGGTGCCCATTGCCCAGGTCTATGCAAATCTGACGTATTAAGCCAATTTAAACTTGTTGATTAGCAGAATCAGAGCAACAGAGAGATTGGTAAATTTTAAATATTGAACTAATGAATGAGTAGAAGTGCAAAGATGCCAAGACTGAAGTTTGTGAATAAAATTATTATTAAAATTTTTAAAAAAAAATTCTTAATTGTGCTTAGGATTTATTAGCAGACTGGCAAAGAGGAATTTGAAATTCAAAGGCAAAGATTAGGCCATCCCTTTCTAGGACACCACCTATTCATAACTAAATGCTTATCTTGATCTCTATTTATAATTTAACTTAGTAGTTTGGTCTAGGACAACTTATCATCTCTACAATTAAATTTGTAACTAATGCTTAAATATGACATAAGTATGCTGATGCTGCTACCATTAGCCTTTATGTTTAAAGCTTTATTAACTTTAGGCCTATTCTAAAACAAAACTACCCCAGTGACCTGATTGTGACACTACCTGCCTTCTTGGAAGTGTAAGTGGGGTTGGAGGGGACAAAAAAATTTGTACATGAGACCTTGAGGAACCCTTTCTGTCACATTTACAAATAAGCCAGCAAATGACATAGTGGCAGCTGATTTTTATCATCAACTTACAGTGCGCTTACTTAACTACTCAGACACAATCAGTGAAATTTTTGTGCTGTATTTAATTTGTACTTTCACCAGTTTAAACAAAATTTGACTACAATGCATTGCTTTAGAAACTACTTATTATCAAGGAAATATTGTGTATGTAAATGACATAGACATGATCCTTGCACTATGCATTAATAAAGACTTACACTATATACTACATGAGGAAATGTTCCCCACTCCTAAATGGACCAATGATAACTTATATTTAATTTCTTAATAATCACAACATATATATATATATCTGTATATCTATATCTATATATATTATATAATACATCATTGTATAAAAATTTATACCATTTTTTTTGTCCTGCACTTTCTGTAGACTGCCTTCATTGACAATGGCCCCCAAGAATCCACCACCTCTGGTCACTGGTGTGTCACCTAAGGAAGGTCCTCCAGGAACACGAATCACTATCAGAGGAGAACACTTTGGAGATGATCCTCGAGATCTCATTGGTAAGGAGCAGGTTCAGAAATACATTTTGTATATTGTGCATTAGTGTGAGAATCATGTGCATGCATTACTTTAAAAAAAATTAACTAACTAGAGCAAGATGAACTCTGTGCAAAAATATTTCAAAGGTAAAGTAATTTGCATTATAAAAAAAAACAACACCTTATATGTTTAAAGATAAGTAGTGAAAGTCTAGGTCAGAAATGGGGATGTTGGCAAGGTGGATGCACACTCTGCACTGTCTGCATATTCAAATTAGAATTAAAATTATTTTACAGAATATAAAAATGTGTCATTTAGTTGACATTTTTTTTTTTATTGACCTGCTTGATCATAATATACTAAATAGTACAAAAGAAGAATGCACTCTGTCATAATTATTATTTTATCGCTAATTTAACTTTTTTAAAACATATATTTTTAATGTAAAACTTCTTTTTATATCTAACAAATTATTTTAGCTCAATACTTTTATATTTTATTCTCTCGCTTTACAGGTTTAAAAATTTGTGGCATGGACTGTCTTCTATCCGCCGAGTGGAAGTCTTCCAGCAAGATTATTGCTCGCACTGGCCCAGGAAAGGGTAAAGGGGACATAATCCCAATTACAAGGTATGGAGGTAAAGGAAGCTGCACTGTTGGATTCAGGGGCTATTTTCTTCAGACTGGTAAGTGATATTTTTATTCGCACGTTTTAAAATTTCCAAATGTGTATAGTCAACAAGTCTCTATGTGTTTGCTCTATTTAATTCACTTGCTCTTACCGGGAAAAGTTCTTTGGTTAAAAATTTTTTTTTCTGTTAACTTCTTGCCTGAGCAATTCTTGAAAACTTGAGCATAGCTCTCCATAACATTTCATTGTCGTTTATGAGAGGGAACTTGATTTAATGCAACGTCCTATTGACCAATGTTTGGAGTTCTTTATATCGGGGTTTCAGTTATTTATGATTTTTTAAAGCATCAACAGCTTGTTAAATCCCCAATAGACCTCTTTGTTCATAAGAATATTACCCCCCCCCCCCCCCCCCCCCCCTTTGCTCTCTTTTTTGATGTTTCTACCTGAACCTCAGTGCTTTGTATTTTGTATGACTACCTCTACAAAATATATTAAGCTATAAAAGGATAATTTTATATACCAAAGTATATCCAGGTTGTTATTGCTTTTTATTAAAAATATTGCAACATTTGATTACCATTTAATAATATTTTTAAAAAAAACAACAACAAAGGACCACTCCAAGAGTCTGCTGTCTGGATAGATGAATCTCAAACTGTGAGGCCAAACTTGGACCATGGTAGGCCCACAGCTGCCATGACTGCCAAGGAAGAAGAGGACCCCTTGGGCATCCTTGATGAAGGAGACAAGTGAGTTGCATTGTTACTTGAATCAATGTTGTCATCTTTATGAATGTTACTTAACAGAGGAGTACCCCCATGCCCCCCCCCCCCCTCTCTCTCTTTGTAGAAATTGAAATAAATTGTTTTGAAATGTTAAAAATAAACATGTTTCTGCATCTTCTACTGCAACTTCAAGTATATTTAATGCTTCCCTATGTCTCATACATTTATATGCACCCTATTAAAGATAATGTTAACATTGAATTGTTAAACAATGTTACAGAGCCAAGCTTTCAGAAGAGGAACTGTTGGATCTATTTCAAGATGGTGAGTCATTTTTTGTATTAACCTGCGTCCGCAAGGCCATTGTACTTGATTAACATCCAAATAAGATATACAAACACTCAAACTGCTTTAAAAGTTTTATTTCAAAGCCACAGTCTTCCTTTTTAACCTTGTCTTTAAAAAAAAATGGTAATTTCTATTTTGGTCCCTTCTGTTAAGTTTAAAAAGAAAATTCTTCCAACGCTACCATTTTTGTAAGCACGTCTTGGTACTGGCTAGGATCTTGCCAATTAAGATTTCTAAATTTTTATCAACTTGTTCCATTTAGTTTCTAATTAATATTTCAAAAGTTCATTTAGTTTTAAATTAATTATTTTTTTTGAAAGATATTTTTCTTGGTTTAAATTAATATTTTAATTGATTTATTTAGTTAGTTTAACAAAATCCCATATATTTGTCAGGGTTAAATTTCAAAAATGTTTTAAATTAAAAAAAAGGTATATTTACGATTTACTGTTAATTATAATCAGTATAATAAACATTATTAGACGAGCAACAAAAAAAAAAACAAACACCTGCAGAGGTAGGGACTCGTTAACCTTGTAAAACAACTCATCTGAAAGAAGGAAATCTCTGAATCCAACTCAAGAGAGGGAGTCCCTTAGGAGGTATAACATTAACTCAATGAAAATTCTGTCAAATCCTCCACCGCCCCTGGTGCCAAGCATAACATCCACTTGATCTTCTCTTGGGTCCACCAATGACATGGAAAGAGGGTATTTGCTGACTGGGGAACCAGCTTATTGTCCTTAAAAAATTCCAGGCCCTGTGATTTCATCTTACAAAGTCTGCACCATCATCACATTTTGATGGATAGAGGAAAAAAAATAAAATAATTTTTACATAAAATAAGTTATAGTCAATGTTACTAATGATTTTTTTCTTCATGCTCAGCTTCAGGTAGCATGTCACTGGAGAATTTCTCCCCTGGTTGGTATTTAATGGAACACCATCAGAATGCCAGGTATGGAGAGTTTTTACTGGACTAATGAGCTGTGGCTTGCAAATAAATAAAATAGAAAAAAACAACAAAAACATTATGTACAATTTATTTGGGTTTTCTCTCTCTGTGCCCAACAAAAGAGAACATTTTAAATGAATCCCAGAAAATGAGATAAATTTGTGTACCTGAAACACCCCAATAAGGTGGAGCCAGATTGAAATTAAAAAAAATGTGTAGAGATATTTGAAAAATAAAAGGTATAAGGGTATCTGAAATAAAAAGATATCAATGTATCTGAAAGAAAAAGATGTAAGGGTTTCTGAAATAAAAATATTTAAGGGTATCTGAATAAAAATATATAAGGGTTTCTGAAATAAAAATATATAAGGGTATCTGAATAAAAATATATCAGGGTACCTGAATAAAAATATATAAGGATATCTGAATAAAAATATATAAGGATATCTGAATAAAAATATATAAGGATATCTGAATAAAAATATATAAGACTATCTGTGTTAATTCCTTATTAAATTGTTTTTTTAAACAGCGCTTGAAAACACACTTTTTAAGATTTAGATTCATTCCTTAAAAAGTGTTTCTCCTTCTGCTTACAGAACTTGTGTGGAAAGGATATCATTTTTCTTAAAATATATATCAGTACAATGTTTGAGATACTTGTGAAATATCTTTTCAGTTTTGAGGATCTGAAGGCAGGTTTGAACTACATGAAGAGGAAAGCCAGCCAAAGATCAGAAGGGCCAATCACCATTGTTAGGTCCAATCTTACTTCCATCCTTGATTGTCTAGAAAGCTTATCAGGTAATTTGTTTTTATTATTATCATTGCTCTATTTCTCACTTAAGACAAGGGCCTCATAAAAATGGGATTTAACCTTTTCTTCTTGCCGTAGGGACCGGCCGGGCTCTCTCGAGCGTTGAAGGACCCGTTGTGATGTCTGTACACTGTGGACCCATTTACAAGAGGCACTCACTTTTCTTATAATGTCTTGCTATAAATTATCCAAAACATGATAAAATATTTCAAATGTCACCTACAACCTGCCTCAGGTGTTCCTATTTATGTATGGCCTGGCCTGAAAAAGCTTCTTCATGTGCCTTAATGATAAATGCAGCCATAATGATGAATGCATTAATTTAATATCACCCTCCAAGCATAATTTGACGATGGCTGCTTGCTGTGTATTGTGAGATAACCAGTCAAGTATTCCTAGGAATATACGTTAACTTCATTTTACTGCAACTTATTTCCTCTTAAGACCTCCAGGGATTAAAAATAATCTGATGTATCAACTAGTAAAAAATTGATGTCTTCCACATAAATGCAAATAAATCATGTTTTATTCTCATCCCCAACAGCCATGTATGAGAAGTACACAGAGGATGACATACGGGGCAACTGCATGAACTCATATGCTGTACTTTTGATGCGTGAGTGCATGGTTTTTTTTTCAAAGTGAAAATATAGGCCTTACTTTATATGATCATGTGAACAGTCATATTTGTTTCTTTTCTATAAATGATCCCATTTTTCAGATTTTAACATTTTTACACTTGACTTCTGCATGTTAGCCACGATTCATTATAAACCTTCAAGTTTAAAGTTTTTAATATGCTGTTATCTCTATTATCAAATTATAAAAAAAAAGAGGTTAGATTTCATTGCACTAGGGCTACATAGATAACAAATAATATATAGCAAATACTCTCCAGCAAAGAATACAAAATACATGCTCTCCACAGTGCTGAACATTTCATTAATATCTTCTCAGAGGCCAAGTCCTGCGCCGATGGTCTATTTCAGGAAGTTCTTGGCAGGAAGGATAAGGCTGACTCCACTCGGAATGCCCTCAGCGTCCTCCAGAAGTTCCGTTTCCTGTTTCACCTGCCTCTAAACATACAGCGTAACATTCAGAAGGTCAGTAGCAGGCAATGGGTCACTTTTGTATGTTAACAGGCTGAAGTTTAGCTGAAATGGATTGCATCCAACTCAGAATTACCTGTGCACCAAGTCAAGCTGTGAATGTTGATGATATATTAACATAGAAACTGATCAGTGATTTCTTGTAGTCCAGTGATCCTCAAATTCCCTGTATTTCTTATCTTATTTATGATACCTTACATAATTCCAAAATTTTGTTGTATTTTAAAATATTATCTTTCACAGTAATGATACATTAATTCTTTTACTTCCTGTTTTTTTTTTGAAAACCCAACTTCTGGCAATAACATTAATGTCGAACTCGAAACACTTAAGTTTATGAACTACTTTCTATATCTTGTCATTTCTTCATTTTTCCTGTCTGCTAAAGAAGGCTCTTAGCCAAAACGTTCTCTTTTTATTGCCCTGTGTTTATACTTCAAGCTACCACATACCTTCTTCTTCCACTACTTCCTTCACACAGCTACCACATACCTTCTTCTTCCACTACTTCCTTCACACAGCTACCACATACCTTCTTCTTCCACTACTTCCTTCACACAGCTACCACATACCTTCTTCTTCCACTACTTCCTTCACACAGCTACCACATACCTTCTTCTTCCACTACTTCCTTCACACAGCTACCACATACCTTCTTCTTCCACTACTTCCTTCACACAGCTACCACATACCTTCTTCTTCCACTACTTCCTTCACACAGCTACCACATACCTTCTTCTTCCACTACTTCCTTCACACAGCTACCACATACCTTCTTCTTCCACTACTTCCTTCACACAGCTACCACATACCTTGTTCTTCCACTACTTCCTTCACACAGCTACCACATACCTTGTTCTTCCACTATTTCCTTCACACAGCTACCACATACCTTGTTCTTCCACTACTTCCTTCACACAGCTACCACATACCTTGTTCTTCCACTACTTCCTTCACACAGCTACCACATACCTTCTTCTTCCACTATTTCCTTCACACAGCTACCACATACCTTGTTCCACTACTTCCTTCACACAGCTACCACATACCTTGTTCCACTATTTCCTTCACACAGCTACCACATACCTTGTTCCACTATTTACTTCACACAGCTACCACATACCTTGTTCCACTATTTCCTTCACACAGCTACTACATACCTTGTTCCACTATTTCCTTCACACAGCTACCACATACCTTGTTCCACTATTTCCTTCACACAGCTACCACATACCTTGTTCCACTATTTCCTTCACACAGCTACCACATACCTTGTTCCACTATTTCCTTCACACAGCTACCACATACTTTGTTCCACTATTTCCTTCACACAGCTACCACATACCTTGTTCTTCCACTACTTCCTTCACACAGCTACCAGATACCTTGTTCCACTATTTCCTTCACACAGCTACCACATACCTTGTTCTTCCACTACTTCCTTCACACAGCTACCAGATACCTTGTTCCACTACTTCCTTCACACAGCTTTGAACGCAGTCCTTTATTTATTATTATTTATTATCAATGATCTTTTGTCATCCAATTTTTGTGTGTTTGGTATTTGAGGGAGGAGGTCTGTTCAGCCCTTCCACTGTCTATACTCGTTACTTAAGCTACAATGTTTTTGCATTCTCATTATTTCTTAAAATGATATGGCAAGGGGTATGACTTTTAGGAAATTTGTATCATCCGCGGCTTGCCATTTTTGATCCGTCATTGTTTACCTTTGACCTCAGGGGGATTACAACATGGTCATCAATGACTATGAGAAAGCCAAGAACCTGTTTGCTGACACAGAGATCAAAGTTTTTAAAAAAGGTATTCACATTGTTTTCTGTTTAAAAAAAAATATATTTTTGGAGGTTACGATTTCACATCACAACAAAAACAGCAAGAAACAACAAGAACACAAATCAACAACAACAACACAACAACACATTGCAGGATAACTTGACAAAGTTTTGTCTTGCTTTGTTCGGACATTATCCTTCCAACTCGGGGGACACAGAGCCATTCAATGTAATGTGCTCAATTCAGCTCATTTTCATCCGCATCAGTTTTCAGAGAAGTAGAGTGGAGGATAGCCAACTTCAGAGACATGTTGTACAAGAGACTTAAGGACCCACAGAACACTTTGGATGAGCAGAAAAAACTCATTAGGTATTCATGAAAATGATGTTTTCTTTTTTTTTACCAGGGGAAATTTTCCCATTTGTATATATATTTTCTTTTTTTTTTTTCGCTGCATAACATTTTCTTTCTCATTTTAAGAATTTGTAGAAGTGTTTCATCTTTTAGTTTATTATATAACTGTTAGAGTAAAGAGCTATGTGTAGGAGTGTGTTTGTACTTGTGGGCACCTGTGAAGCAGTGTGTTCATACTTGTGGGCACCTGTGTACAGTGTGTTCATACTTGTGGGCACCTGTGTAGCAGTGTGTTCTTACTTGTGGGCACCTGTGTACAGTGTGTTTGTACTTGTGGGCACCTGTGTACAGTGTGTTCATACTTGTGGGCACCTGTGTAGCAGTGTGTTCATACTTGTGGGCACCTATGTACAGTGTGTTCATACTTGTGGGCACCTGTGTAGCAGTATGTTCATACTTGTGGGCAGCTGTGTACAGTGCGTTCGTACTTGTGGGCAGCTGTGTGTAGTAGATTTTTTAAAATATTTTTATTTTGTTAGGAAAAATAATATTAAACATGATTTCCTCCAGGTATCTAGTCAGCCTGGAGTATAAGGGTGACCCCGCCTGGGAGTGCCTGGACAACCAACAGAAGTGGCTGATAGAGTTGCTGGACGACTGTAAAGATGACCATATAGAAGAAGGTAGGGCCACCCCTTTCCTTCTGCTTGGGCAGATTCTCATCAAACTGGTTTCCCCTTCCCATTGAAACTGTCCGAAATTCTTGGTTTTAAACTGTTTGAATCTTGTGTTTACCCTTATCACAGTGTAACTATACACATTCTTGTGTTTACCCTCATCACAGTGTAACTATACACATTCTTGTGTTTACCCTCATCACAGTGTAACTATACACATTCTTGTGTTTACCCTCATCACAGTGTAACTATACACATTCTTGTGTTTACCCTCATCACAGTGTAACTATACACATTCTTGTGTTTACCCTCATCACAGTGTAACTATACACATTCTTGAAACCTGTAATTAGTAATTCTGGACACCAACTTCTGTAGATTTTGTGACCATATTTTTGTTTGTTTGTTTTTTTTGTTTTGAGAGAGGTCTGCTCTTTTCTTGCTGCTGTCCCTTTATGTGGTTGTTTTTGTGAACATGTCATTCTTCACCACTTGGTGTTGCTTGAATTGAAAGCTAATTAAAAGTGATCGTAGCTCCAGGAGGTTGTGTGGAAGTTCACATCTCTATAATACAGTGGTTCTCAACCTTTCTAATGCCGCGACACTTTAATACAGTTACATATGTTGTGGCGACCCCTAACCACTAAAATAATTTTGTTGATTCTTTATAACTGTACAGTATATGTGTTTTCAGAAGGTCTTATGCGACCCCTGTGAATAGGTCATGCGACCCCCAAAGGGGTCACGACCCACAGGTTGAGAACCGCTGCTATAGTATGAAGCCTCAGATTCATATATCTCACGAATGTTGCCCTTGGTCCTCAGAAAAGAACAGCATCCAGGAGAGTCTCGCCCAGTCTCAGAGCAGCAACCAGTGGAAGCCGATTGGCAGGGTCAACAAGTCCCCTACCAAATCAGGTATGGCGATTACGGTGTGCTCTTTGAGTCAGCTGGTTATGGCTGCCATCGTCGCGTCTCAAACACTGCTGCATGGCCCTGCGAGATTGGCTTTGTGGTTATAAATGACCAAGATGGTTATAAAGTTATGGGATGGTTTTCAATATAAAAGGGATATTTAAAAAAAGTAATGTTTGTTTTATATTCTTTACCTTGAATGATTTAATTGAAATGACTGTTTTGTAATGAAGCTTTCCTTCACCACTTTAGGCCTGTCTAGAGAGTCCAGCTTCTCGTCCCTTTCCTCTGCTGACCACCAAGGTATCAGTGTTTTACTGAGGATTTTTCTTTGAATGTTCACTGTGTTCTTTAAGTTCACTTCCTGTTTGCATGGAAACTAACATAAATTTGCTTTTTCTTTGACACTGTGCCGATGTAGGTCTCACATGTTTGTGCTTGATTCTGTAACCGTTTTACAATGTGTCGATGTAGGTCTCACATCTAACTGCAATAAATTTAACATGGGGCGCTAAAGACTGCTTCACATGTAGAACTATTGCATGTTTTATTTTTGTTATTAGATGAGCCAAATAACCATTGTACTAGGTATATATCATAGCTGTGGGGGGATAATACTTTGTACCGCAGGTAGACTACTAATGACCATGACATTTGATGTCAAGCAGAGGTTGTTGTCCAGTAAAATGAAAATTTTAACTGCAGAGTGGTGTAGCACAATATCTATTGTTATATCAAGTCTTCCATTTTCAATGTAGAAATTCTGAATAGTTCATTTACTGCTGTCTTTCATAATCAAACTTTGCAACTTTTGATGTTCATCAGAGAAGCTTTAAAACCAACGAGTGAAAACATGTCAATATGTAGAATAAATGCTATGTCAACAGACCTGTTTACTCTTACGATTTTGGTGTACAATGTACGATTTTAAGGTGTATACATGATACATATACTGTATGTTTATTTTTTTACTATTAAGATAATGTATTGATGATTTTGTGATGGTATTGTACGATTTTAAGAGTTTGGGGGTAAACAGGTCTGTGTCAATAAAATAACAACATGTTGAGTATCAAAATTGATAACATGTAAGTTTCAGTATACTAACAAATTTAGGATAAAAAATTCTACTTAAAAATAGGGGTTCGTGTTATACGTGCAGGTAAGCAATTTGTTAATTTAATATAAAAGATGTATGCTAAAGCGTATGCAACGAAATCTTTGTGACATTAGGCGACTGGGTGTTCATTGTGCCTGCCCATAACACCAGTAATGTTAGTGGTATCCCTTTGAAGGGATGTTAGCATAGTTGTATCGGCATGAGCACAGTTCATTTTAAATATAATAACTTAAAGGATTTTGACATTTTTATTTAATATAAATATTTTTTTACTTAATTCATATGTTACAATTAATATGTTATGGAACAAGATTAACAGATTGCATTATACGAGGATATTGCATTTTAGGTATTTTTTCATTAAAAAATTGTTTTACGCATTAATATACGGTAGGTAAAATATCAAAGTGTCAAGTCAATGAAATGTCAAGTTATGTAGTAAATAAATTTTCAATGTTTTAGGGTAAATCAACATCATGGAGACGAGTCATGTTCCAAGTTGAACAATCCCCTTAGAGAAGGTTTAAAGTCATATAAAAATTAAAATGTCAGCCAACCTTATAACCTTATGGTATCCACAGCCTCCTGGAAGTTCAAGACCCCACAGAAGGTTTTATTCATTGAGGACATCACTGACATCATGCTGCAGCATTTCCCAGACTATTGGAGGCTTGGCCAAAGCTATTTTACAAGGGAGGCGAGTACCAAGTTCTTTTGTTGTTGTGCATTTGCGTTTGTTTCATCTCAGAATCAAATATTTTGTTGCTATCTACGGATGTAGCAGGCAATTTGTGTCGTTGAATAGCTAATGTAAAACTGGGATACGTTTAAGATTTTATCATTGAATAGCTTATGTAAAACTGGAATACAATTTTATTATTGAACAGCTAATGTAAAACTGGAATACAATTTACCTTTGAATAGCTTATGTGAAAGTGGGATACGATTTTATAATTGACATTCATGCGGCCCATTTTGATATGAATGCCTTAATTTGTTTCTTTTTCAGAAAACTGAAAAAGGAGTGAAAATTGACACAAGTAAACATGGCAAAATGAAGGTAAAAGGGACAACGTGTAACTCTTATGACTTATGAAAATCTCAATGATTCTCTTTCTTCCAAAATCTTTATCTATAAATTGCACAACATGCAATATGGTCTTGGATAATATTTCAAGTTCACATGTAAAACTTCAATTGAAATCTACCCATGTTAACAAAAATGAATGTTAAGCTTTTAAGGGGTACGAAGTCCAGATAAATTTTTAACTTTTGATGCAACCCATCTCATCTGCCTAACCGACTTTTTATTAATGGTGTAAACCTTCAATTTATTTATTCCAAATTGAAACATTACTACATTTTCAACAATTCACCGCCTTGACCATGGTCCAGTCCACACCAACCAGTGTTAGTACAATGTAAACATGCCAACAGTAGTGAGTGTCTGTTTTCCAGCAAATGATGGCCGAGGTCATCACATTATTTGCCAATTACGTCAGAGCTGCATTCCTGCCAGAGTCACTGGAGAACCTGCCCGATGTGGAGAGAGAAAAGCTGGGTGTGTGGCCCACCTCCGCTAAACAGGAACATGTATCTGGGTCATGGCTTCCCACCTGTGTGCGAAATATCAGGTGGGTCACATTAACCATAAAACAAAGTCCAGATAACTTTTGATGTACCGGTAATCCATCCTAACCCACTTTTTAGTGATAGTGTAAGCTAAGAAAATAATAAAACATTTTTAATTGTAACTCTGATAAAGTTAATTTTAGACCTATTTACCTATTGTATGATTTGAAAGTACATACATTTACCTATTGTATGATTTGAAAGTACTACATTTGCCTACTGTATGATACATTTGCCTACTGTATGATTTGAAAGTATGTACATTTTCCTACTGTATGATTTGAAAGTACATACATTTTCCTACTGTATGAGATACATTTTCCTACTGTATGATATGAAAGTATGTACATTTGCCTACTGTATGATTTGAAAGTAAACACATTTTGCCTACTGTATGATTTGAAAGTAGGCACATCTGCCTACTGTATGATTTGAAAGTAGGCACATTTGCCTACTGTATGATTTGAAAGTTAGTGTCTCATGCTGGTTGTTCCAGGAACTGCGCCAACACATTGTCAGCCCTTGACAGCCATGGGGACTCATCTATGATTGTTCTCAATGAACTGGCTTTTGACATGCGCACAAACTGTATGTTCACACTGTTAAAACAGGCCATATCAGGTGAGTCTGGGAGCTGGCATAGTCACTCTCTAAGTGTGTGGGTGTATAACTTACCTATTTATGTTGGAGGGGACCCCATAGACATTATAATCTTTTTTTTATCATTTGATTTTAGGTTACGGCTTGTATCATTTTTGTCTCAGTAATATTTTGTTATGGTCCAAGTCATTATTTATATATTTCAAAGTTCAGTGTAAACAAAAGATGTGTATTCAAAATGTTTATATGTGCTCTAGTTATACACTAGTTGTTTCAAGTGCACACTGCGAACACGACCCCTTACATCGAATGAATGTGTTTTGTTTGGGATGATTAATCAGGAGCTGGAGGCATCCAAACGAGCCACTATTTTAGATTTTATAAATGCAAAAAAAAAAAAAAAAAAAAAAAAAAAAAAAAAAAAAAAGAAAACAAACAACCAACTAATGTACCGTAACACTGTTCACTTGGCTGGTTTCCTCAGATGTGAAATGTTTGCACACCAAGGAAACTTGGGTTGTAGAAACAGATGACGAGTCAGGCGGAACCACACAACTGGTAAATTTATTGAATCTTTTCAGTCCTCGCTTGTGAAACATTAAGAGAATCTCAAATCAGATTTTAAGGACACCCCCCATCCTTCCCAAAAAGTGCTTCACTTCAAACTTCTTCATTCAAATATTTTCCGATCCCTCCAGCCGGCTCTGTTTGAGAACATTGTGAATGAAACTGTCCAGCATCTCCATGAAGTGGTGGTCATGAACAGGGCGCCGGAGCCAGAGGTCAGTGGTTGTACTTTCCTCTTATTGTTGGGTGTATTGTGATGGTGGTATTACGGAACTGAACTTGTTTCAATGGCTCTCGTGCATACTAAACTCAATGAAACCTGCCTATAAATGAAGCCGTTAAAAGGATTCATTGTTTTAAATGGTTATGTCACAGTAAGGATCTGTAAATTATCGTGGTGAAAAATCACTTGAACAAATTTTTTTTACAGTGTAACCTAATCAACTATCTATTATTAAAAAAAATAATAATTCCACGCAGCCTGTACAAAACGTAGTGGGTGTTTTTATTATCGTAATTTCATCAACTCACATTAACACACAAAAAAACACTCCTGGTGTTTTGGATACATTGAACGTTGATTGCTTGTTGCAGATATTTAGCCAGCGCCCCATACAGAAGGAAGCCACCGTCTTGTGTAGCCAGCTGCTTCAAGCTTTCTCCGTGTGCATGGAACAGCTCGTCTTTACCCCACCTCTCCAGAAGACGGAAGCCAAACCGTGAGTGTCGGCTGATTCTGCTTGTTTTTTCATTTTTTTTTAAAAGCTTTCATTCTTGAGAAGTGTGGTTGGGTGTTTGAAGTGAGTTAAGCACTGGGATAGAGATTTATCCTTGGCTAAACCGTTTAAGCACTGGGATAGAGATTTATCCTTGGCTAAACCGTTTAAGCACTGGGATAGAGATTTATCCTTGGCTAAACCGTTTAAGCACTGGGATAAAGATTTATCCTTGGCTAAACCGTTTGTTACATTTTAACTTTGGGTCATTGAACATAGTAATTAAAATAAAAGTCACAGAAATTTTATTCATTAAAATGATTTCTAAATCGTTATTATCCGACAAAACACCCCCCAATATCTATTATATTCTCAAAAATAAGTGAGTGGAATAGCTGATATTTTTGTATGTTCACGTGTTCTGTTGTTTACCGTCAGAGTGCCCTTACCTGTTTTCTTCCGTCCTGTTTCAGCAATGTCAAGATCACACTTGGACAGCTTGATGTAGAACTAGACCAGCATGAAGATTCCATTCCCTCATTGGTAACACAAACAAAATGTCATCCAGATATTCTTTAAGATTATTTATATTTTGTTAAAAAATGCGGAGAGTTGTTCATTGCAAAAAAAAAAACAAAAAAAAAACAACTACTCAATTACATGTGCATTTATTAAATACATACCGGTATTACAGATGAATATAAATAAATAAGAAACAAAAAAACCTGTAAATGCAAATATCCTTTTGACAAACAATGTTCGGAGGCGTAATATAAGACACTACACCCCCCTCCCCCAAATAAAAAAATTTCATAAAAAAAGTAATAAGCAGCTTCTTCGTATCACTTTAGTTGTAAAAGAGATAAAACATGTTAGATTTGACCCCCGCCAAGTGCATCGGCCCGCCCTCCATAGTGAAATAAAATGTCCTGTGCATTGCAAAGACAAGTATGCAAATCATTAATATCATAAACATCCTTAGACCAGTTGAATCTTTTGTCACAACAAAATGAGTAAAACAGAGTAGGGTTAAACCTGAAAAAATAAACGCAACAAAACAGCAAGCATGAACACCGCCAGCCGGGTCAATTGGAACACAGACTTATCCTGACTTACGGCACTTTGACGCCAGATGGGATTAATGTTATGTCTCTGTTCACAGCTTGACCTTAGCTCCGCCCCTCCACGTTCTGACCTATCACAGTGAATTTTTTTCTAACCCTTTTTTTCGCCGCTGCATAATTTAAACTCTCACTCACTTTCCTTCTGCCACACTTCTATTGCTGCCCACAGACACTACTTACCAGCTAAGTGCTATTTCTTATTTTTATTTTTATACCGTTTTTTCTGCTGTTTTGTTAGCTGACGAAGGCTTTCTGCCGATCCGTTAATTTTTTTTCTTCTGTTTTGTTGCGTTTATTTTTTCAGGTTTAACCCTACTCAGTTTTGCTCATTTTATTTTGTACTAACCTGATTGCAGTCTCTCCCCTTATTACCCCTTGCAGTCTCTCCCCTTATTACCCCTTGCAATCTCTCCCCTTATTACCCCTTGCAGTCTCTCCCCTTATTACCCCTTGCAGTCTCTCCCCTTATTACCCCTTGCAGTCTCTCCCCTTATTACCCCTTGCAGTCTCTCCCCTTATTACCCCTTGCAGTATCTCCCCTTATTACCCCTTGCAGTCTCTCCCCTTATTACCCCTTGCAGTCTCTCCCCTTATTACCCCTTGCAGTCTCTCCCCTTATTACCCCTTGCAGTCTCTCCCCTTATTACCCCTTGCAGTCTCTCCCCTTATTACCCCTTGCAGTCTCTCTTCCCTTATTACCCCTTGCAGTCTCTCCCCTTATTACCCCTTGCAGTCTCTCCCCTTATTACCCCTTGCAGTCTCTCTCCCCTTATTACCCCTTGCAGTCTCTCCCCTTATTACCCCTTGCAGTCTCTCTCCCCTTATTACCCCTGAATCTCTTGTTACAAGCTCCTGTTTACAAAGGACAGTTGATGGCCCAGGTTAGTCTAGGGGTAATTAGTAACAACACCAAGGAGGCCAAAGAAAGCGTTACAAAGACTCACTGAAAGTGGCACTAAAGGCCTTCAGCATAAATGCTACTCAATGGATGCAGACAGCCCAGGACAGAGCCAGATGGAGAGGTTCTGTCAAGAAGGGGGCTAAATCCCATGAAGCTAAGAGAATAACCACAGCTGAGACACGCAGGCTTGTCCGAAAGAGCAACATTAGGTCATCGTCTGAAGCAACTATTCCATGCCCACGATGTCATAGATTATTCCGAGCAAGGATCGNTAAGAGAATAACCACAGCTGAGACACGCAGGCTTGTCCGAAAGAGCAACATTAGGTCATCGTCTGAAGCAACTATTCCATGCCCACGATGGCATAGATTATTCCAAGCAAGGATCGGTCTAACAAGCCACCTAAGAGCTCACCATAATCCCCCCCCCCCGCCCGCCCCTAACCGGATGATTCGATGGTCCTTGTCGACTTCGACGGATGAACAACAACAACAGCAACAACAACAGTAACAACACCAAGATCAATAGTTGATATGGTTCTTTATTCAACAATGAAATCCACAGTGTTCCTTCTCCCTGCATACTAACTACCAAAACCATAACAACATACACTATCATCTCTCATGCCCCCCCAAAAAAAGTCACCAAAACTAAATAGCAACAGCTAAACAACAAATCTCCACATCAAACACACTTACTAGCTAATCAAGTATTACAAAACACAAACTGATGGAACAAGTCATTAACATCTTTCCCCCATGATGGATGTCCAGACGGTTTTATCAAGAATTCGCCCCGAGACGAGAATTCCGATGTGCTGGACCACTCGCCAAATCATTTTTTATATTTTTTTAAAACTAAAAGTTAAATTTTTTTGTCTCTCACTCAGAACTGGAAACTTTTGCTGAAGTGCTTCTAGCTTAGACTATGTTATGTTGGGACGCTGTACTTCTTGAAAGACCTCAGCTAGATATACAAACATGCCAGAAAGGCAGAGTGGACTTGGTTCAGATTAGAAAATATGATTTGAACCTTGATGTTAACGCTATATTACTTTGATTGAAAAACACAGAAATATTTTATAACTGCCTCACACGGCCTGGGATTTAAGTACCGGTATTCTGGGGCACAGGGCTGTTTGAAAAAACCCCTTGCCTCAGACACACATTCATTTTTCATTTCCTAGTCAATAAGATGGCACTTGTTCAGTTTGTTTTTTTATTTCTTTGATCAGGACAAGCGGCTCATCATCATGTTAAGCAACTGCAGTCACACCCAGTTTGTCGTGGTGCCAAGAATCATAGAAAATCTCACCAAGCACGGCTACGTGGAGATGGAGAAAGCCTTGAAGGTGGGACTCAGAGACAGTGGCTTATGAAGGGTTTGGGGGGGGGGGTTGCGGAGGGGTCAGCACCAACCCTAGCTGCGCCATTTTTTAGAGGCATCTGCTGTTTTTTCAAAACGACTGACTTTCTTTGCATTTCTTGCTTTAATTAAATGTGATATTTCCCCCCTCATCTTACTCTTACACATTGTGTGAATAAGACTTACAGGGCTTAATATTGTGTGTTTCTCATTTAGATGATCTCATTTGTTTTCCCTCTAATCACTGAGTCTGAGTGCATTGAATAATTGATATAACTTATAATAATAAGTTGTTCTGCTATTTTGGTTACATTGGCTAAACAACAGAGATGACATATGTTCAAGCGATGCTATACCACTGTCCGCAATCTAATGCCCATGACCAAACTATTACATTCAGTGCCACTGAATAGTTTGTTGTTTCCTTCACTTCCATCTCAAGGCCGCCCAACACACCTACAGTGATCTGGACAGCCGGCTGTTCACCAGCTACATTGAGCAGAAATCTGACCCCATCCTGGGTGTCATGGAGCACAACATGTACAAAGGTAGTTTCAGCTGGAAGACCTGGAAGAACACCACCGAGGTGCGCAACTACCTGAAGGAGATAATCATGAGTCTCATCGAGGTCCATGCGGAGGTCAGTAACTCAAAGCAGAATTATTTTTTGTCGACTCCTAATAAAAAGTTTAATAATGATCTCATCCCCCACCAATTGTAAAGCACTTAGTATTTATAACAGAATTATTTCCCTTACTTAGGTGTACAGCATATCCCCAAAGTTTGTGATGCGGGTCATGAAGAAAATCACGGAAGCTGTTTCTGAGGAACTTTCCAGACTCATAGAGTGTGTGCAGGACTTCAACGCGGGGGGAGCCATTCAGGTGAGTGTCTAGGCATTAGAACCCCTGAGAGTCTTGGGATGTGGGTATGTTCCTTTGTTATGAATGAGAAAGAGAGTTCAGTAGTGAAGGGGAAGAGTTTATATAAATTAAGACAAAGAGAAGGTCACTTAAGCTACAAACAAACCTGATGGATTTGTGTTTTATAAATTAATGCCCACCAGAGGTGGCTTCTGTCATTGTGTATTAAATTTGTGTGTGTGTGTTAGTGTCATTAGCCTACAAGCGATATTTGTTCCAGAGAATTCCTATATTTTTCTTGTAGGGAAATGTCCTTATCATTGTAACTAATTTTCATATCAATCAAACAGGCCAGGCTTGAGCTGGAGGCACTGCAGAACACTGTCCGCATTTACAGCACACCACACGTCCAGTGAGTGACTCTAGCAATGATAAGTTTTCTCATCAACAGGTCACCGTAACTGTTGGGTGTCATTTCAACAAATTCCGTTTTGACAAATGTTCCATTGCCTCTTACTAAACCCAAATTTTAAAATGTTATCAAATTTTTCTGCATTTACCTGCACTTATTATTTTTTCTTTTTTAAAAAATTAATAAAGATTTTTTTGTGGTAAAATACTTGTGAAAAAAATCTTCATTTTAAATGTAATTTTTTTTTCAGGGCTTGTTTCAAAGCGGCTTTCGACTGCATTCCTGAATTATCCGATGAAGGAAAAGAGTAAGTGACAATTTTATTACAGCATTACAACAAAAGTGATCATAAACACATTTGAATGAAGAAACAAAAAGCAGGTACAAAAAATTAAGGCGCACATTTATTCTCATGATAAGAAATAAATTTGTTTTGACAGAAAATGTTATTCTATCCCAATCAAAGAATTCGAAATGGCAAACGTCAGATGAGAATATTAATTCATCTCCGAGAACTAATTTTAGGAATATGGCTTCACTGTCTTTTAGCCACCTTTATTATTTGTTGTAGTGACTCCTTGTTCAGTAAATGTTTCTTTGCCCATTTTTTCTTTAAAAAACATTTACTTGGTTACATAGTACAAACGTATATATTTTTACATTTTATTTAACGCCTTTGATAATTGAAATTTAATTTGGGCTTCCCAACCTTGTGGTCTCAGTAAACCAGTGTATGGTACTTGTTCAAGTGTCATATGAAAATGATATGTGTCTTAACATGACTATATTTGTATCCCTCAACGATTATTAATTATTATCTGAATACATAAATAGGTATAAATAGGTATAAATAGGTATAAATGAAGAGTTGGTTTTCAAAATGCTCCATTTTTTGGGTTTTGAGATATTCAACTGAAGAGTCCATTTTCAAAACGCGGTATCCACAATTTTTGAAAAAAAATGAGATAACCGTACATTCTTGTAGAGCAAACCAGGTTCCTTCAGACCCATTTCCCAAACCTGATTGTACTTCAACCTCTACATGGAACAACAAAAATCATCTTTTACTGTTTTAGAATTAGATCTTTCTTTAGGTTGGAGGAAGAGGAATATTCAACAACAATATAATTATAGTTTCTGAAATCACAACTCATCTTTTGTTGCAGGGTTGTTAGCAAACTTTTGGATAAATTCAGATCCAGAATGAAAATTCAGCTGATGTGTTTCCAGCAGGAGATGTTCACGTCCACTGTAAAGAAAGCAAATCTCACCGACTCGCTGTGCTAGGTTGAATGTGTAGTGTACTACCAGCACTTGCTCTCTGTGCTAGTTTCAATGTGTAATGTGCTGCAGAACTGACTAGGTGTGCTAGGTTGAATGTGTAATGTGCTATCAGCACTGACTTAATTTACTAGGTTGAATGTGTAATGTGTTATCAGCACTTACTGGCTGTGCTAGGTTGAATGTGTAATGTGTTATCAGCACTTATTGGCTGTGCTAGGTTGAATGTGTAGTGTGCTGCCAGCACTGGCTGGCTGTGGCAGGTTGAATCAGCATTGAATGTGCTATCAATGAGACATTGTAACCCACGAGTTAGAGCTGTGAAAAGTTGGCAAAAAAGTGGAAGGCTAAGTCTTAAAATAAATTATATTTTATTTTATAAAAAGTGTGATAAATGTGGGAATGATCTATTAATAGGAAGGTTACATCCTAAATGTAAGCAGTGATTGTTGTAATGGGTCCATTGCCCAAGTAAGCAGTGATTTTTGTAATGGGTGCATTGCCCATGTAAGCAGTGATTGTTGTCATAGGTCCATTGCCCATGTAAGCAATGTCTTGCATGTCATAATCGCTCATTCGGCACATCATTCACTATTGTGATATTAATAATGTAAAAAAATTAATTATAATACCATGAAACCTCCCCCTCTCCCATTTTGGTGTTTGCCCGTTGTTTCACCTGACATCCATTTCAATTCAATTGGAACATTTTATTAATAATGTATATTATTTTGATGCTTGAATAAAGCCATTTTGTAAAGTCTAACTTTTACTTGGCTTGTATGTCTTGAAATACTTGAATGTGTTTTCACTTTTACTCGGCTTGTATGTCTTGAAATACTTGAATGTGTTTTCACTTTTACTTGGCTTGTATGTCTTGAAATACTTGAATGTGTTTTCTTTTGTTCATTAAATTACACTTATGTTGGAAACTATTTTCCTCTATTACTGAATACCACATAAATACATAATCATCTATAAACATGTTAGAGATGATTTTATAAAAATGTTACAGATGATTTTAGTAACATGCTGTTTCATTTTAGGTTTTCATGGTAGGTTTTTAAAATTTGAACAACTTTATTTACCCTATAATACACTAGAATTTGAGAATCCATGTTTCTAACAGTGGACTGATTTTAGTTGTTAAATCCGTTGGTGGATATGAGGCGTGGGTGGCGGTTAAGACCCATGTCGGTGATTTTAGCTACACAGCCGTGAGACAGCTGCTCCTAGGTGACCATTTCGTGACTGTTTAATTTGAGCCTTGAAGAAAACAAATTATAATATTTTGAATTATTTGATATCAAATGGATGGAAATCTTACCATATTTTTTTTTCTTCTGTCTTTCTTTTTATTCTCTCTCCTTTTCTTCCATTCTATTTATTTTTAAAAATTTTCTTCATCTTTTGTTTTTATCTTTATCTTTCTTTTATTCTTTTTACAGCAGCGGTTCTCCACCTGTGGGTTGCGACCCCTTTGTGTGTCGAAGACCAGCGGAAAACACATGTACTTAACAGTTATAATGTAGCAACGAATATAATTTTTGGTTGGGGGTCGACACCGCATGAGGAACTTTATTAAAGGGTCGCGGCATTAAGTAGTTTGAGAACCAATGTTTCTTAATCCCCCCCATACCCCCATTTTTCTTTTAGTTTTTTCTTTCTTTTTGTCTAACTTGAAATAAGAATTCCATTTATTTACTGCCCTCTGGGAGAGAGGAAGATTCCACATTGAAAAATCTTATCATGAACATACCAGTACCAGTGATCAGACGACAGAGTGTTTATTCCCATGAGCCTGTTGGCATTTGTTTAGATCCAGATGATAAGGATAAAGTCTTGATTGGCTTTCTCAGCGGCTGAGATAACAAAGTACAACTTAGATTTAATTTTACCATCCAAATAGATTGACTCTCTTATTGCAAAGTACAACTTAGATCTAAATTTACGGTCAAAAGAGATGGGCTGTCTTATTGCAAAGTACAACTTAGATCTAATTTTACGGTCAAAAGAGATGGGCTGTCTTATTGCAAAGTACAACTTAGATCTAATTTTATGGTCAAAAGAGATGGGCTCTCTTATTGCAAAGTACAACTTAGATCTAATTTTACGGTCAAAAGAGATGGGCTGTCTTATTGCAAAGTACAACTTAGATCTAATTTTATGGTCAAAAGCAATTAGTCCTCTTAGTGACTGAGATTGTAAGGTACAACTTAGATATAATTTTACGGTCAAAAGAGATTGGCTCTTATTGCAAAGTACACCTTGGGCTTAGAAGTAATTTTTCGCTCAAAAGTGATAGGTCAGTTCTAATCATCGGATCTCCAAATTCTGAATACAATTTTTAATCTAACCTGAGTTGGTGAATTCATAATTAGTTTAATTAAGAAGTAATAAGAAAATAACACTTGATTTATTTCACACTCCAGATAAGAAGACAAATATCAACTGAAAGTTATTTATTGACCCGCATATCTGTTGTATAATTGTTAGGCATTTTTGTGTTGAAACTTTGCTTCCACTCTCCAGGCTGTTCATGCGGAAGACATTATTTTAAGATCCACCACAGCTTCCAAAGCTTAAAACTTTCTTAAGTTCTAGTGTAGAAACTGATGATATTATGTCTCTATTTCATTTAGAGGTATCTATTGTTAGGAGCAGACAGGCTGAGTTGAATGTGTGCACTTTTCTGATTTGGAAAGATTCCCCATCAACAGTAGCTCTGCACACCAACACACACACCGTCATATACACACACACAAGCATATATGCACATACACTCACCATCATTGACCCACACAGCATTATATATATACACACCATCATATATACATATATATATATATAATATATACACACACACCATCATCATTATTTTAAAATGAAACTTTTAAAAGCACAAATTAATTAATTTACTTATTTTCCTTCTAACAAACTTGAGTTTAACAAAAAATAAAGTTATCAGTTGAAAAAATCATTGAAGTTGAATTCAGTAATCTAAACAACGAACACTGTTGTCTACACAAAGGTCAACAAACACCAGGTCGAGCACGAGCTGTTGGTATAATATAGACTCTGATTAGTGGGCCACACACCTCTTATCGTATATTTTCTGGCGCTGAGCAATCATGCTAAGGATGAATGTGGTTCTGCTCTGCCTCACCACTGCCCTGGCGCAGGTCGTCTCAGTCACAGCACAGGGCCCACCTGCAGTGTGCATGCCGGAAGTATTCCAGGCCACTGTATATGACATTTACAAAAATGTAAGTACATTTTCCACGGTTTATAAACCCGATATTGCTTGAAATTTGCTTGAAAAAAAACAAACAAACAAAAAAAAAAAAAAAAAATAAAAAAAACAAAAAACAAAAAAAAAAAAAAAAAAAAAAAAAA